AGGCCCGGACGAAGAAGAGGTCGATAACCGGCAGCCCCGGAGACGTTGCCCGCCGCCTGCGCCGCCATTGCCGCCATGGCTGCCGCCGCCGCCGCAGCGGCGATCGCGGCCGTGGACAGCGCCGCGCTTTGCGGCTGTTGGTGCGGCTGTCCGGCTGCCCACGCCGCTGGCCCTGCCGCAGCGGCGGCAGCCGCCGCCAGGCTGTGCCGCTGGGCAGCAGCGGCGGCCGCTGCCGACGCCGCCATGACTGAAGACCAAGCCGCTGCAGCTGACGGCGACGCTGCCGCTAGCGACGGCGGCGGCCGCATCTGGAACAGAGCGGGCGCTGTGGCATTGTTGAGGCCTGCTTGCGGCACGAGGGAGTTGGGCGCTGCTGGCGGACCTGGCAAGCTGGTGCCCGGCTGCAGCGGCACGAAGCTGCCAAGGCCTCCTACGGCTGGGACTGCTCCGGCGGCACACGTCCCGCCCGCTGCGGAAGCGCCTGGCGGCGCGACGGCGGCTGGCGGCGGCGCACCGGGGAACCCTGGTGTTGTTGCGGATGCAGTCGTGCCGGATGGGGCGCCGGCCGCACCAGCCAACGGTGGCAGGGGAGGCAGGGACGTGGTGCTGACAGCGGACGGCGGCGGCGGAGCCGCCGCTGCCGTCACCGTGGCTACGGAGCCCCCAAGGGCACCGCCGCCGCCAGCGGCGGACACCTCTACCGCTGCTCCTGGCGCCTCCTCCGGTCCAGCGGACCTCCGAGTCCGCTTTGCAGGCGGCAGGGTGCCGCCAGATAGCGGCACCTTGCCGCCGCCCTTGGACGTCCTCCGCCCGGCACCGCTGCCGCCGCCGCCGCCACTCTCGGCACCGCCGTCCTGCCCCAACCCCGACGGCCCCGGCGGCGGCGGCGGCGGATCCTGCCCCGTCGAAGCTTTGGCCGTCATCGCGGCCTTCACCGCGGCTATGTGCTGCACCCTGGCCTCCTTGAGCAGGTCGGGTCGGGAGATGAAGAACAGCATGCGCTGCAGCACCTCCCCAAACGTGGCGCCCGGCGGCAGGCTGGGGGGAAGCGCACAGTAGGTGCGCAGGATCTTCTGAGCCGTCAAGTCCACGCCCTACCCGGGTACGTGTGTGAAGGGGGGGGGGGTGCGGGGGGCCCCCATGGACGTTGATTTAGGCTCGCGAAACAAAGGAAATGCAAGTAAACTGCCCGGGGCCCCCGAATGGTAAATCCCCGGGCAGGGGGGCGTGAGGTGAAGTGGCGCAGGAGTGGCGTTAAGACGTAGTTACTGCGGCTACTGCTACCAATATCATCATCATCATCATCATCATCATCATCATCATCATCAGCAGCAGCAGCAGCAGCAGCAGCGGTGCCTTCGGTGCCGTATATACCGCGTCCATCGGCCCAACCCGCACTACGCGACCCACTCCGCACCCGTGTGGGCCCTCACGGCGGGTTTCCGTCCTAGGGGGCGCTGATGTGGCCCCCGACCCGATCCCTAAACCCCCCCACCTCCATGTCACGAAGCAGCTCCGAAACCGGCGCCTCGTGTACGGCCCGGACCGCCGCCATGTATTCCTCCGCGCCGTAGTTAAAAGCTGCTCGTCCAAAGCCGTAACCCCATTTGCCGTACCATGTGCGCATGTGCGCCGCGCTGTAAAGCAGCCGCAGCAGCATGGACGCCTTGTTGCTCACGTCCTCGACACTCACCTGCAGTTGTGTGTGTGTGTGTGTGTGTGCTCCGAGGTGGATGGAAATTGGCGGCTTGCATTGGCGGCTAGGACTAGCAGACTAACCCAGCAGATCCGGGTTCGGTGATATCACTTCCTCCCGTAACAGTTCCGGTTCAGTTTTCGTTATGGCCCTAGCTGCCGTACGCGGCATATCACACGTCAGCCAAGCGGCACTGCTTGCGGCTTCTCCCCTCAGCTCCCACTTACTGTTCCCTCCCTCTTTCCTCCCTCGCTTTCTTCGCTCACCTCCCTCGCTCTAAGAGTGGAGCAAAGCGTATCCCACAGGTTCATCAGGTCGGGGCCCACGAGGGGCGTCCCGACGCTGGCGGCCGCGGCGGCCGCTGCCGCAGCAGCGGCAGCAGCAGCGCCGTCGTCCTGTGCCGCCGCCGCCATTGCCGCCGCCGTGGCAGCAGCGCCATCACGGCCGTTGACCCGCAACAAGTGCCCAAAGCCGTTGCCATGAATGACGCCGTGGAGGCAGTGTGCTGTGGAGTCGAAAATGGAGGCCGGAGCGTTATAGGCGCTGTCCCGTGGGTCGCTGTCATGGACCTCTACCGCGAGGCTGCTCACCGCTGCCTTGGCCGGATCCACACGACCTGCAGCAGCAACAGCGGCGGCCGCGGCAGCGGCGGCAGACGGGCAAAGCCACGGCGCGGTGCTTTACGCTTACGACTGCCCAATGAGTGCCCCCGGGGTTTACAGCTTTCAACCTTCATGAACCAAGGCTCAGGGGTACATTCTACATGCCGTGTCCCTAAGCCCCCCAGCTGTGCTGTCCGCCCTCATCCCGTAGGCCCCCCTACTCCTGCTCCCAAGGCGCCTCTTCCCGTACCGTACCGTGCCACGCCTTACCCCCGGTGTGCGCGCTCCTTCCAAAACACACGCTCCCTCCGACACGAAGGCCCCCATCCCCCCACCCCGCGCTCAACCCCACCCCGCAGCCCTAATGGCCCCCCAGCTGCAGTGCTTTCCCCCCTTCCCCCAATCCCCCAATCTCCCGAGCATGTGCATCACCCTCTTGCATTAACCCCCCGTCCGGTGCGGCCCAATGTGCCCGAGTGCCCCACAGACTGCATCAGAAGGGTCTTATGGGTGTTGTAAGTCATATGGGTCTTGCGGTACGGGGCTAGTTACGTGGCCATGTGCGGTAGGGGCACACGCTCTATGGGGGAGGTGGAGGGTGACGGCGAGGAGAGGGAGGGGGGCCATTGTGCGGTGGTGCAAAACTCGAAGAACTAACTGTCGACATCCGAAGAAGGGAGAGGAGGGGACTCTGACCTGCTGCTGCTGCTTCCACGAGCGAGGGCAGTTGATCTGGGTCAGAGAGTACCGCGGGACTGGGCAGGATGAAGTGGTAGCGGCAGTTGGAGACGGGATGGTGTTGCCAGCCTGTGGCACAACGAGCAACAGATGGTTGTGGATGCGGACGTGTAGGGGGGATGGGGAGATTCGGATGCAGTTAAGAGGATTTGTGGCATGGAGTGCGCAGAGGACAGCTGCGGGTCTGCGGTTGGGAGGTTTTGCCAGAGGATTGTGCCAAGAGCACGTGGAACGACCCGCGGGCGCACTGCACGCACCCATGTTGCGGCATTGGTCGCAAATAGGTGGCGTCCCCTGCTTTTCATCCAGGTGCTCCTCGTAGACATGCAGCTTGACGACGCCATTCTTGTGCTTTAATGGCACAATCCACGCGGTCGTCAGCTGCAGCTTTAGTGGGACCAGGTTTCCATATTCCTTGAGGAAAGCAACTATATTGTGCTTAAAGGAGCTCAGGTAGACGGGTGTGGCACCAGGCAGCCAGGGGAAGCTCGGATTTGCCATAGAGGGACCTCAAGGAACGGACTCATGAGGTGCAGTCCTTCTAAGGTGGATAAATTCCTATCCTACAGCAGCCTGCGCTGGAGCTTTCGCTCCTTTCTTCGCGGAGGTTACCGTGGTTTTGGGCACCGCTGCTTTCAGGCACGTTCATCCATTAGGAAAAGATTCCTATTTTAGCATGAAAGTCTTGCTTAGCGTGATGTATACATGGATTAAAAGTGTGATAAATCATACCCAATTTCCGGGGTTTGTCTGAAAATTGACAACTGCATTAACATGTTCTTTATAAAGAGGTTTTGTTTTTTCCCTAGGAAGCATGTGTCTCGTCAAGCTGTCTCGTCAAGCTCCGTGTACGTTTGCAAGCGCGTCTTGCCGCCCATGCCCTAACCAGGCATTTGCATCAGGCGTCCAAAGCCCATAGAAGGCTGTAGGACTCAATGCGTAACAGATGCCTGTTTCCTGAGTAAATTGAGATGGGCGTTACAGGCAGTTGTCGTTCCGAGAAACGCGGGAACCAGGATGCAAGCATTCTTACGACGCAGTGAGCTGGGAAAGCGTTCAACAGGCAACTGGGCATGTCATCCTCTATATGGATCCACCCCGCGGTCAGCATCAAGCCGAATTGGCCCATCAAGTTCGTTGTCTTCGTCATCCGTCCTCAACACAAAATACCCCTGCGCTGCGCCAAATCATAGCCTGATGTTACAGATGTCACGACGAGCCCCGTATCCTAGGTTCTGCATTCCGTCATATTCTGGTTGAAGGAACCGGTGCAACCGACCCGAACGCTTTTAAAATGTCGACCCTGCAGATCAGGTCGCGGGAACTTGCTGGATGCAGTAAATACTATGTGTAAACAGATGTCCGTCGAACGCGCGCCGATGATTCAAAAGCCTTCAGGCATTTGACAAACTGCGATCTCAGGTGCAAGACGTTGGTCTGCAGTGAAGAGCTCGCCAGGATGACACTGTAACGAGCCGTGAGAATTCATTTAGGTGGGGATGGCGCCGCATGGCGAAGGCACGCTTCCACCGCCACCATTGCCTACAAAATCGCTTATCAACTCACCTGGTGTTGTCAGCACGCATCCGGACAAGGACATGGACGCAGCCGAACTGGAACCCACGACGACAACATGCCCCGCAAAGCCAATCTGCCGAGGCGTTCAGCAAAGCCCGCCATGCTTTTCATTAAGTCAAGCGCTTATATTGTTGGTACCTTCTGTTGTACGACCTGTTGTACGACCGATCAGTCAAGTAGGTTCGCTTCCTAATAAGCAGTAAATATAGACATAATATGACCAGGTTTCAATATTGCTCAATACGTGCAAAAAGCAAACTTCGTGCTCGCGTCTGCAACCAACGCACCCCCCCAATCTCCAACCTCGTCCCAACCACCAACCGAACAACCCACAGGACTGTCCAACTGTCCGACTCAGCGTCAATGTCCAGCTCAGCTCTTAGCTCTCAAACTTTGCAGCTGTGTGCGTCCGGTGCGCAGTCCGGATACACCTGCCGCAGATCCGACCAGCCCAGCTCCTGGAAGCAGGCGCACTTGGTGGTGGGTTTGTTGCCGCCCGGCAGCTGCATGAAAACCTTGCGGGGGTAGGCGCCGCCGTCGCACCACACCGTGCCGCCTGGAGGATGACGGCGATGACGGCGAGGGTGAACACCGGCGAGCACCGCACCACACCGCACGACGGAAGAGGGAAAGAAAGGGGAAACGGAGGGCGGGTGTTGCTTTAGCAAACACAGCTTACAGTGGGGCTGCGGCACCGACACCTGCGGTCCTGGGGAGCGATCCTCCTGCATGCGCCCTTCTTCCCAAACCCTCACCCCCTCCCTTCCTCACCCCCCTTCCTTCCTCAACCCCCTCCCTTCCTCACCCCCCTCCCTTCCTCACCCCCCTCCCTTCCCTCCTCACCCTCCCTCCCTCACCCCCCTCCCTCCCTCACCCCCCTCCCTCCCTACCAACCGCCTCTTACCGCCTCCTCCCCCTCGCACCCAACAGCACCCCGCTCTGGGCATCTCACCCTCCGACTCCGTCCATCTGACGTTACATGAAGGCCACTGCGCCTCCACCTCCCGCTGCAACTCCTCGTCACTCTTGGCCCGGGCAGCCTCCTCTTCAATCCGCTTCAATAGCCTCTTGGGGCGACCTTCGCTGTTGTAGAAGCGACCCACCAACCGGCCCTTGTACGTGTATTGCTGCGGATTTTGTTGTTGTTGGTCAAAGTCCGGTCAAGTTGGTCAAAAGAGGGTTCGTTGATAGCTAGTTGTTAGTTAGGGGACAAGTTATATTATAAGGTACTCTTCTCCATTCCCAGCTTCAGCACTCGCTCCTTAGGTCGTTTGTTTCTGTTCGGCGTACTGTACAAGTTCGAGTTCCGAAGGGGATCTCACTCTTTCCTAACATCACCAAACCAGTCAAACCCTACTTTGTGGTAGAAGGCCCGCCACTCCACTAAGGATTTGAACTGCTCGGGTGTGAGGTCCTCCACTTGGTCGATAAGGCCCTTAGGGGTGAAGTCGCCTGTGGGCGGGTTTGGGCCAGGGGAAGGCGGGAAAGGGAACGGGGCCTGCATTGCAGCGGGGGCCTTGCATCATCATCATCATCATCCAGCGCTCACGTCGTCGTACGCTATTGTGCAGCCAGCCACCTTCACAACTACCTACCACAACTCAACTAAACAGTGCAGTTGGACCCATATATATGGGTACTGCTTACGGACTCACCGGTCACAAATGCACGACTGGCGTCCCTGCCTACAAAGCCACCGTAGCCCTTTTCGTCTGTGGGAAAGAGAAGGGGAAATGTGGGAACGTTGTGGGGGGTTGCGCGCCTCAAAAGACAGCTGGTTGAAAGCAGCCCATGCGCGGGATAAGTGCGCACAAGTAAACTCCAGTAACATATAGGGGCGAAGGTTAAACAAGGATACGGATAACGGAATTGGTAAGGGTGTACGTTACGGACGTCCTCACCACCGTAGAACCGGCGTCCCTTGGTCACGTCAAACACTTCGCCCAGGATCGCAAGGTATAAAGGCGTGTTCTTTTTCCCGTTGTAAAGCGCAAGAGTCTCGTCGTCAAACAACACCTGCCAGCATCAGACACTGCTATCATGTGTCAAGCAAGCAAATAATTGGTTGGTTACGAGAAGTAATTTACCAGGCCTGATGGCATCTTCGAGTAGCTTCGAAGTAAGGCAATGCACACAACAGACACAAATGCCACCAATAACATCTCTGGGTGCATGGCAAACCATGCGGCGACCTTCCGATGCAACTGTATTTGCCGCGTGGCCCTTGCTCCATCCGCTGAACGTGCTGCGAGGAACAAAAGTGCTAATTATAGTAATTGGCGTAGTTGCCTCCGTTTGCCGCAAATATATGTGTCCTACCGGGTGGTTGCTTTCCCTCATCGGCAGTGTTCTGTTCTTCAGGTCTCGCTTGCTGCGTTGTTTTCCGTTGCGTCAGTGTGGTATCCATGTTAGATTTGGCACCACCGATACCGCGATATCGCAGCTCCACACAGTCTTTTTCATAGCCTAGGAATGATCATAGCGTTTCAGGTACGGGATATCGTACGGGTAACAGCTCTCGGCTTGCAATTTGGCGCTTAGTTACCCTTACCCACACATAAGGCTGCATATCTGGCCGGTAAGTTTGCAGCCTTCTAATGCTGCGTGGAGACTGCACAACGTAACTGAAGTCCGTGAGAGCACTGCGGATAGCATCCAAGTCTTGAGGCCGAGCTTCCTTCTTCGGGAAGTGGGAGCGCGGCGTTACCATATGGGCAGCAGATCTACCGTAAGGACCAAGATCAGGGATCCGGCAGATGCCACCCCTTTAAATAACAGCGCCTCCGTCGGATGATGTATCACACACACACACACACACCGACACACATACACACACACACGGAGACATGCACACGCAATACACACGCACAGACGCCCGCGCGCTCTTGCACATCCTGCGATGTGGGCGCCTCATATCGAACTCTGCAAGGCCGTTTACCGTCAGCTGGGGGTACCTGTAGCAGGTTTTGGCAGCCACGCTCCACCCCACCGCCTTTCCACTCCAACCCGCTCATCACTTTACCCACTGCCCCCCATTCCATTCCACCCAAGCCCCAGCTGCTATGAGCCCCAGAGGACGCCGGGAAAGAATAGTAGTCGTGGCAGTGGTTGTCGTGCGCGTCTCAGGGATATTTAAACTTCATTCCGACTAATCTACTATTCCGCACCCTACACAGTGTGTATGGGAGGCGAAGGCGATAGAGCAGGGCACGGTGCCAGGACAAGATTATCTTATCAGGACGATGCTGCTGCTGGTGCTGCGACTGCCGGCGTCGCCAGCCCCAAACGGATGAGCGACTCCGCCATATCCGTCAGTGTACGGCGGAGCGGGGTGTACTGCAGACCCAGCTCCCGTACGACACGACTGGCGTCCACTTTTTCCTCCTCGGGTGCGGACTCCCCGTCGGGCAGGTGGGCGAGCTGGGGAACAGCGGCCTGGAGGCACCCGGAGGGGTCAGCACGTGCACGCGCAAGGAAAAACACACAAGGAATGAAGTGCTGGCGCCTAAAGTTGAAAAAGCTGTTCAACTCCTAAAGCGCGACACCCGGGGTTGTTGGTAAGGAAGCAGTGCAAGGGGGGTAGTTGTGGTTGCGGTTGCGGTAGTTGACGTCGTGGTTGCGCTACTACAGGAGCACGTGGGAACTAACTAACGGCAACCACCCAAAGTTACCGCCAGAGCCGACCCGGGCCTTCGGGGTCAGGTAGCCTTTCCCCCTTATGAACGCGTCGTCATCCTGGGCGCAGGAAAGCTCCTCAGCCCCATTCAGCCCTACTCCGCCTGGCCCGGCCCAAACCAGCCTAGGACAGGGCCGTACCTCGGGCAACTAAGCATTCTACTGAACACACACACGCAGACACACACGCAGACACACGCGCGCCCGCAGACAGAGGAAAGCGAGCCCACTTTGAGGATGTCCGTGATGGACTTGGCGCTCGATGACTTAGGCTGGCTAACGATGTACCGCCGCCCCGCCGCCGCCGGAGTCACCGCTGCCAGCACGTGCGCCGCCGCCACGTCGCGCACGTCCGCGAACGTCCATGAGCCCGAGGGGAGCGGCTTGGGGTCTCCGGGACCATCACAGGCCTCCACAATGCTCTAGTGATGTCGACGCGAGCGCGTAAGAATGCGCGGGTGAGTTTGTGAGTGAATAGGCCGGAGGGGGGGAGTGTAGAGGGCGGCTCAGGATGGGAGACGCATAGCGGGTTTTAATTGTGTTCAAGATCAGATACATATTTATATATATACATATATATATTTATTTATATATATATACATATATACATATATATATTTATTTATATATATATACATATATACATATATATGTATATATATGTATATATATAACAAATACAAACATAGGGTTGTGTTGTAGCGCCTTATAGCGTTACACAGCTAATCGCTTTGTGATCAGGACTAAGGGTGCATTTCCAGTGCGGATTAAGGCCAGGGATTAGGGCACGGAAGTCCTTGGTACGAGCTTATCACATAGTTTTGTTCCATAAGGGAACCAAAGGTTGAAAAGGCGAGGTAAGTTTGCCAACAACTTAGCCGTTTGAGCAAGTATCGATGGAGGACAGAGGGTTAATCCCTGGCCTTAATCCGCACTGGAAATGCACCCTAAGACTGATCTATGAAGAGCCTATGAACACCTTGAGATTAATAAGTGTTTCCTAATTAAGGATTGACACTCCCTCCTTTCAGGGTTCCTACCCTAACCGAACAGACACCTCGGTCTAACCAGCCGTCAGGTGGTCCGAAGGGACACTCTACGACAGAAGTCGTTGCGGCCTCCTAAGCAACGAGTATTACATACTCGGGAGGGAGCCTGGGTTGGATAGAGAGTTCGAAATCTTACGTTTTTGTTACTCTATCTTTAGATAACAGCTGCAGACCTTGGCGGAGCGAACCCGTCCTGTGACTTATCGGTTCGTACTGACATTACGCGCTAACAAGTTGTAGTGGGGGATGGTCGTGGGAGTGATGATAACTTGCGAAAGTGCCATTATGAGCCGCCAAACAGGGAAAACGGCTCGGCCATTGCGCTCGGGGACATGTATAGGTCTAGGTCAAGGTTGGGGCCGCCGCGTGTGTGTATGTATGTGTCGTACTGAGGGAGCGCCAGAACCCAAAACACGCAAAACGCATCCAGCGTGTGTCTTGTAAGGTCTTGCCGACCTGTGCACGCATCCAACCCATCCACCTCCTCACTTTCAGCCTCCTCCTCCCCCCCCCTGGGGCCCACTGTTGGCGCGTAATGTAGGCAAGAACCGAAAGTCACAGGACGGATTCGCTCCGCCAAGGTCTGGGCTCTTGTCTAAAGATAGAGTAATAAAACTCTGTCTCTTTTGTTAATATATAAATATTAATCCTCCAACCCAGGCTCCCTCCCGAGAATATATAATACTCGTTGCTTAGGAGGCCGCAACGACTTCTGTCGTAGAGTGTCCCTTCGGACCACCTGACGGCTGGTTAGACCGAGGTGTCTGTTCGATTAGGGTAGGAACCCTGTAAGAGTGTCAATCCTTAATTAGGAAACACTTATTAATCTCAAAGTATTCATAGACTGCTCATAGATCAGTCTTAATCAAATCACGCCTTCATCGCTTTGCGATTTGGCTCTGTAACGCTAAAAGGCGCTACAACACCCACCCACCCAACCCTCTCACTCCCCCCCGCACCTTGAAGAAGCTCACACTGATACCCGCGGCTGCATCAGCAGATGCCACGGGGCCCATCACGAAATTGGGCAGCACCGTCACCACCTCCAACCCCAGCTCCGAAGCCAGCCGCCAGGCAGTGCGCTCCGCCTCCACCTGTGCACCGGAACAGCGGGGCCAGCGCAGGCCGGCGGGGAGAATGTCCTTCGTGACCTCCGTGAGAAAGAGAGAAGCGATATTGGTTGCTATTATTGGGGATGATGATGATGATGATGATGTTGGTTTTGCGGTAGAGGTCCCTCATCCCTCGTACCATATATTACGTCCTCTTGTTAACCATGGAGGCTCCAACCTCCCAAACCCCCCAACCCCCCACGGAACCCGACGCGCCCAGCCCTCCTAAGGCCCGCCAGCATCTTCATCAACCTTGGACACCCAGTACGGCTCCTCCTCCAACGTGGAGACCTCGTTCCAATCTTCCTCAGTGTACGGCTTTCCGGGCCCAGCTCGGGGTTGCTGCTTGGCGTTACAATCGTGTATTGCTGATGGGGAAGAGAAGGGGGGAAGGGACCGGGAGAAAACGCTGATGATGATTAGACACTCGTTGAGACAACGGCACCGTACATTTACGGTTAGTGGAGCTGTGGTAAATGTACGGCCGGCAGAGGGGGATGAGACAACAAAGACGGGATCGGTGGGGGCTCTTCGAACCGAGCTGCATCGTGGGGCCAATGCCAAATATCCCTTCGCGGTTGTCTTATGCACACAATCCCTGGCGCGACTAAACTTTCAAGATGTCACCCGATCTCACCGCAGACAGAGGATGTCACTATGATGCGCTTCAGTGGGTTGCCTTTGTGCCGGGCCGCTCCTCGCAGGACGGCAGCTGTGCCCTCCACAGCTGGCGCGACGATGTCGCGCGCCGGATCCTCAGCTGTGATGAGAAACGGTGATGCAACATGGAAAACGTATTCGCAGTCTGCTGCAGCTTGCGATATTGCCTCCTCAGAGCGTATGTCTGCGTCCTTTGTGGTTCACACAGACGAGATTTTCTTAGATTGTCTCGGTCCACGGGTCAGTTGCTTCGGTGACAAGCTAATGACATTTTTTTTCCAAAGTGTAAATAACCTTACCACGAATGTAATGGTGCCGGGCAGACCGTCAAAGGCTTTCCTCAACGAGGACAAGCGCGGAGAATCTAACGGGCAACGCACAGGGCAGCGCAGGTGTGAACCAGCTTTCAAAAGCTGCCGAGCAAGCTCACTGCCCACATATCCCGTTACCCCAGTAAGAAGAACTGTCCTTCCCTCCATTTCCTCTTTGGTGTGTGCCTGGTTGTAATGACTTTTCACATCAAATGATTCTATGTTGAATGACTCTTCACATAATATGACGGAATAAGTCATTGGCCACACAGGTATGGGCCATGTGAAGCCGCTTACAAGTGCTCCACACCGGCATCTGTCAACGGCCTCGTGGCCTCGGGAATCAATGGATCGACCCCGCAAACTAAGCAGAGGTATCCTTAAAAGTTTAACTTAAGTATAGCTTCATCCATCACGTCAAGAGCACGCAATCGGTTATGACAACGTTCTTGACTTGGCGGTTGGCATTCTTAGTTGACCATTGAACGTACTTGCTCTTTGCCAATCACAATTACTACATGATCCATAAGTTTTAGCCCTACTGTCATACACCGGATATCATTTGTCAGCTGGACCAGAGGTCGGCAAATCGGGTGGGTCCTGCGGGTCCGTACCACAGTACCCGCAGCCGAAATTCGGCTTACGGCCCCGGCTGCGGGACCCAAATGACCAAAATGCGACCTAAAGACGTGATTTGCAGCCTCTATTGCGGCCTCTATTGCGCGCTGGACTCGAACTCTGTGTTTGACTTTGTAAAAGACTGTCACGACCACCTCTACACAGTTCGGTGACGGTTATCATTGATAAGTTATTTTCTAGCGTCTGTACCGATGACTTGCAGCTGCCGCAGCACTTGACTTGGTCAACTGTGGACTTTGGCATACCAGATATTGGTCCCATGTGGCCTATCCTATACATAATCTTCAGCATATTGCTTGTATTTTCGGCATGCATTCTAACTGCTGGCCACAGCATGTCGGCGGCATCTCGCCGGGGAACGAAGGAAACGCGTGCAGAAATCTCCAGCGGTCGACGACGCACGTTGGCCGGCATGCTGACCGGTCGTAAAGCAATTGCTGAGTCCGCAGCAACAGATATTGGGGCGGAAGAGCCGTTGCTTGGGGCATCGGGTAGCGCCGGTGAAGGTCCAGGTCTACTTTTCCCAGCACCACCACCTCCGACCTCCGGAAACGCCAGCACCGTGGCTCTGTGCTCCACAGAAGAAAAGGCGCACTCAAGCCAACACCGCCGCCACTGGTCCCACTCAGCAACCAGCACCTCCCCTGCCCACCACCCCCGCTCCCGAACAGCAGCCGGCCACCAAGTCCACCAACAAGATCGATGCCGTTGGTGTTCTCCCGGGGTTTGAGCGGCCTCATATTCCCAGCGAGGACATTGTTTGGCTGACTGACGCTTGTGGTGGTGATTTCAAGAGCTGGGCCTATGCACTTCAGGGCTTGACGACGGTCATCTTTTTTTGTGACACATATTAGAAGGGTAACGCCTCCATTTCCCTCACGAACTGGGATCGCTCAGCTTACAGCCGGGACGAGGCCTCCCACTCCCACAAAGCAGCTGTAGACCAGTACGCGCAGGATCAGCAGCAGCAGCAAACTAACAAGCACCTGGCCATGATCGAGGTTGCCGACAATGCCTTGTTGGCTTTGTTTGGTGGCGCATCCATGGTCCTGTACCAAGCCCTGCCTTTCACTCACTCCCCAGCGATCTGTGAATACATGGACTGGCTTAAAGCACCAAACATCACCACATTGTACAACAATCCTCGTGCACTTGGATCGTGCACTTGGCGTATGGCAGCTTGCATTCGCGACCACTTGGAAGCGGAGCAAGTGTCGTGTATCGAGGCTGCCACTTTCTTGAAGTCTTACGTGAAGCAGCATCAGCTGCTGTCAGAGCTCCTTGGGTATGGGGAGGTGTTCGGTGTTGGCAATGAGGGTGCTGATGCCGCGGAGGAGCTGATGGAGCGCATGGGCTAGCCAGCGATGCACCACATTAATCTTGTGATGCCCAAGCTCGCACGAAAGCAGCACCTGTTCTCGGAGATGTGGAAGCTCGCGCTGTTCTGTGTGCAAATTAAGCCCACGTTGGTCAATTGTGAGCGCGTCTTTTCCGCACTTGTCAGCTGTCCGGTTTAACGAGTGTCTTTTCGTGAAGCTGAATACGTCGGGGTCCTTGAAGAGGGAGGATGCAATGTTGAAAGGGGCAATGGCCAAGTACAAGTCCTCCACTAGGATGCACCTCTACACGCACATCGCCGATAAGGTCGAGAATATCCTTTGCGACCCGCACTTCAACAGCATGCGGTCAGCTTTGTGAGGATAGATAGCTCGGGGGGCGACACTAACTTCATGGCGCAGGAACTTGCCTGGTGACGAACCCTTGAAACCCCCGGTAAACGATCGGACTGCAATGTGTACGGAACGTCACCAGGCAAGTTCTTGCGCCATGAAGTTAGTGTCGCCCCCCGAGCTATCTATCCTCACAAAGCTGACCGCATGCGGTTGAAGTGCGGGTCGCAAAGGATATTCTCGACCTTATCGGCGATGTGTGTGTAGAGGTGCATCCTAGTGGAGGACTTGTACTTGGCCATTGCCCCTTTCAACATTGCATCCTCCCTCTTCAAGGACCCCGACGTATTCAGCTTCACGAAAAGACACTCGTTAAACCGGACAGCTGACAAGTGCGGAAAAGACGCGCTCACAATTGACCGACGTGGGCTTAATTTGCACACAGAACAGCGCGAGCTTCCACATCTCCGAGAACAGGTGCTGCTTTCGTGCGAGCTTGGGCATTATAAGATTAATGTGGTGCATCGCTGGCTTGCCCATGCGCTCCATCAGCCCCTCTGCGGCATCAGCACCCTCATAGCCCTCATCACCAACACTGAACACCTGAAAGTGGCAGCCTCGATTCGCGACACTTGCTCCGTTTCCAAGTGGTCGGAATGCAAGCTGCCATACGCCAAGTGCACGATCCAAGTGCACGAGGATTGTTGTACAATGTGGTGATGTTTGGTACTTTCAGCCAGTCCATGTATTCACAGATCGCTGGGGAGTGAGTGAAAGGCAGGGCTTGGTACAGGTCCAAGGCATTGTCGGCAACCTCGGACATGGGAGCGGTGGTGTTGGGAGTGGTGGGCAGGAGAGGTGCTGGCTGCTGAGTGGGACCGGTGGCGGCGGTGTTGGCTTGAGTGCGCTTTTCCTTCTGTGGAGGAAGGCCCACGGTGCTGGTGTTTCCGGAGGTGGGAGGTGGTGGTGCTGGGAAAAGTAGACCTGGACCACAACCGTCGCTCCCCGCTGGCCCAAGTAACGGCTCCGCCGCCTCAATATCTGTTGCTGCAGGCTCAGCAGTGGCTTTACGAGCGGTCAGCATGCCGGGCAATGTGCGTTGTCGGCCGCTGGAGATTTAGGCACGCGTTTCCTTCGTTTCCCGGCGAGAGGCTGCCGACATACCGCGGACAGCAGTTAGAAAGCATGCCAAAATATAAGCTATAAGCTGAAGATGATGTATAGGATAGGCCACATGAAACAAATCCCTGATATGCCTAAGTCAAATATTGACCAACTCTAGTGCTGCGGCAGCTGCAAGTCGTCGGTACAGACGCTAAAAATGTAATAATTTAAAAATGATAACCGTCACCGAATTGTGTAGTGGTCGTGACAGTCTTTTACAAAGTCAAACACAGAGTTCAAGTCCAGCGCGCGGCCCTACGGGTCGCAATAGAGAATGCAAATCACGTCTTTTGGTCGAGTTTTGATCATTAGGGACGCGCAGCCGGAGGCTTAAGGCGAATTTCGGCTGCGAGTACTGTGGTACGGACCCGCCTTATTTGCCGACCTCTATAGCTGACCATTTTTTACGTTACAACCTACTTTCCATTCCATCCTTGTTGTGCCATATGTTGTCGTTGTTGTTGGAATGGACGGCATTAGCCAGCAGTTCACACGGCTCGGTGAGAGTGCGCAGCAAAGGATCTCGGCGATGGAGGCGGGGAGCATCCGGAAGCATCCTAAGGGTCATTGGCGGCGAGGCAGGTTAGAGACCTTGAGCTATGCGCCCTAAACTTACAAAAATATTTTAAAAACCGTCCGACAGCTAACATACATGGTCGGGCTTATAATACTGCCAGCACTCAGTAACGACAGTCGGCTGCTGCAGCTACTCGCCTGCCCCTCGCCTCATAGGCTGTCACCGAGACCATCACCGCAGCCATGTTCTGTCTGCCCAATCCGGCCAAGGGCGGGCGGACCCATTGCCAACTGCACTTCCAGAACGGGCGCGGCAGCTGTGCCACATAACCATGAAAGACGTTTAATAAGTCGCACTCGGCTGCCCTGGCCCACACGAATCTCGCACAGCGGCCGATAGCATTCAAACACGTTACAGCCCCCAAAGACCTTCCTTCATCGCGGAGCAGAGCGCCTTCGAAGTGAGGAGTTCACAGAGCCGCCACCGACTCCTCCCTTCCCCATGTCCGCAGTAACAGGAAGAAGCCTGGATGATGTTTCGGGCCTTACAGCCTTGCATTTCACAGCCGTTAGCGCACTCCATTTTTTTTCTCAAACCCCATCATCACTTGCCGCCGCCACCAATCTGCAGCGTGGCCTTGCGGTTGTACTTCACCCTTGCAGTCTCAACCTTTACATCGTTGGTCAATTTCGTTTGTTTCAGCTTCCGGTGGGTGATGGCTGACGCCGCCGAAAACTCCACAGTGTCCGTGTAACCGACCCCACTGTCGCCGTCGTCATCGAACCGGGCATCTGACGGCCCCTGCAGCCCACTGCCATCCTCAACCGCAATGACGCTATCGACACCGCCAGCGACGTTGTCGTACGTACGGCCGCCGAAAGCTGGTGCCGGCGTGAGCAGCAGCAGCAGCGCCGCCAGCAGCATGAGCAGCGCGAGCTTAGCGGGGAGGTCCCAGCAGGCTGCGGCGCGCCGAGACGACGTGGCCATGTTGCTGTACATCACTGGTCGTACACCTAGCTGGCGGGCTCCAAGGAAGGGACGGCGGGGGCGTGTCAAATTAGCAAAGGACTTGCTGTTTCATGTAACCAAGACTGTCTGTTCCAACATTTGTAGGATTATAGAATTACAATCTATCGACGGTACCGGCGGTCCTGTCCGCGCCTATGTAGTGCCGTCATGAATTCGTCTAATCTGTGCATGGGAAAGGTCTCGGGCTCTAGGGTTATAAGGGCTAAAAGGGCTCTGGAATTTGGGCATTTGGGTATTTGGGCATTTGCCCTCAGCGAGGCTCAACCTCGCAGCTAACTCACCAGATCGAGAAAGGAGAGGAGCTCGTGTCTTTGTGCACCCGAAACGACTGTTGGCTGGCGATGCAGTTGCGTTGCTGCAAGTGATGCGATTGATGAAGCCTTTTCCAGTTACGCCCTCTGATCCACTATGTGTTTCTGTGTGTGTGTGTTTCTGTGTGTCTGTGTGTGCACGCAGAAGTGCGTGTGTGGCATGCCTTCATTGAGCACTTGCAGTCCCTTATTAGGCCGTAAAGAGGCAGTTTGATGACCTGTCACGGCTGGCGGTGATGATGACCAAGACGGTATTCAAGTTCGGTGGTGTAAGATAAGATAGAGAGCAGCTTTCTGATGGCAGCCTTGGAGATGCTCCCCCACCTGGGACCCGACGTCCTATCCTATTCGATGAAGCAGGATGAAGATAAATAATCCCGCGTCTCCTTTGGTCTCCGAGGTCCCTTCTAGGTGCGAGGACCTTGGCCAGCGTGGGCACTGCAGCATTGCAAATTTAGTTAACATTTAAAACATAAAATTTGGAAAGCTAAGTTTGAAAGCTGCGCCCAAGTTCGAAAGGTGCCTGTTTAGGAACACAACCGGTGAACCTGGTCTTCGTTCTTTTAGCCGTTGGTCTAGGAGTTAAGTCTGCCGTACGCACATGTTTCGTCGAGGCAACAGTTACATGACGCGACAATTATTTCAAATCAAAGCCGAGCAACTGCTGCTCCTTCCTCCGAGAATGAAGCCCTATGACATATCAGAGGGTAACTGCCCTATCTGCTGTCCTCTGTTGATAAGCAGGAAGTAGACTGGAGGGATCGAAAGCGCCAACGGATTGGTAGGCGCTCTTTTTACCATAAGTGCAGGGTGATCCCAATACATGTATGTCCCACGAAGCCAGCCGACGTTGCAGGGACTTTCCAAAATGAGCAATCACGTCACATAAAGAGGACACACACACACAAACACACATGTGTATGCAACCTTCGTTCGCATGAACAGTCCCTGGGTTGATGGAACCCGGCTGCTAAACTTATTATATATTATTCATACAAGCGCTGTGTCGTATCTGTAATGTGGTTCAAAGGTCCATTCATACACACGGTCAATCACTTTCATGGCAAGGCACTCTCCCCCAAGGCAAACATTAGCGCACTGTCCAGGGTCCAAATGTGTTATATACATATTTGTTTTTGTTATATACACCCATTTCCGAAAGGCACTCGCGAGGCATTCACCGTGTACACCTACGGCGGCTACCACCGCGCTGCGAGGCCATACAGACATAGCCCCCACCAGGCGGCCCCCCGGGAGCCCCCCTTAGGCAGCCCGGTCCGTCCCGCAGTGCCGCAGGACTGAAATACACATACGGAGAGCTTCTGCACAGGATGGAAAGAACCAAACTCCCGTTGGCCAGCCCCGACCGAACCTCCCACCTCTGCTCTGCTCCGTGGACATACATACATCCCATTTCATCACGCCTCAAACACCAGAGGAGCCCGGGTTCAAATCCGCCTGCCGGCTCCTCTGGTGTTTGAGGAGTGTTGAAATGGGAGGTGGCCCCCCATCATATGGACGATGTAGGACGTGATAAAATCAACTTGCGAGCTGACCAGGAACTAAGTTGATGCGCCGTTGATCCGCTAGATTTGGTTGGATGCTGGTGGTGAGTTGCCGAACCCAACGAATTCATTCTGAAGTCGATGGGGTGAATGGACTAGGGTGCCCTTCGCGCAGGGGAGAGCAGGGACTGCCCCGGGAAAGGGGGCCGCTGGCGAAGTTAACCACCCTGTAACAACATACATCACGGCAGGCGGCTGGCAGAGGTTAAGGCCTGACTTCTGCTCCCAGTCGACCCAGTCGACCCGGGTTCAAATCCGCCTGCCGGCTCCTCGGGTGTTTGAGGAGTGATGAAATGGGAGGTGGCCCCCCATCATATGGACGATGTAGGACGTGATAATATCAACTTGCGAGCTGACCAGGAACTAAGTTGATGCGCCGTTGATCCGCTAGATTTGGTTGGATGCTGGTGGTGAGTTGCCGAACCCAACGAATTCATTCTGAAGTCGATGGGGTGAATGGACTAGGGTGCCCTTCGCGCAGGGGAGAACAGGGACTGCCCCGGGAAAGGGGGCCGCTGGCGAAGTTAACCACCCTGTAACAACATACTAGGTGCAAGCCTGCCGGCCTACCCGCCTGCCTCATAATCTATAGCTCTAGCGACCTCTGTAAGACTAGGTATCCGGAAGCCCATGCTAATCTATCTGCTATACCCTCGGCGATAAATACATACGGCCCGGCCGAACCGTCTTCGTAAGGTTTTCACGGTCGCTTCCTGCTGGGGTCGCACACACCGTCATCACAGATCATTCTTCTCGCGCGATGCTTCACATTGAAATGGTTACCTCAGTGCTAACTGAGATTCACTTGGGGTAAACGATAGATGATGGACATCGAACTACATCCCCGCTCGCTCGCTGTTCATGGTCCGTCTCACCGCCTAAACACACAAACATACACTCACACAGGCGCAGGCGCAGGCTGCAAGGGTGGAAGGGTGGAACTGTGCCGCAGCGCGTGCTGAGGTTGGTTGTTTGAGGGCCTTGGTAGCCACTGCGCTCTCTTTCCTCTTGACAAAAAGGTGGTGCACGCCCTCGGTCGAGCAGGAGGGGATAATGGCCCCATCTCTCATGCCCCTCTCTCCCCCCACAAGGAGGAGAGTGCTGCTTCGGCGGTCGTTCCCGTTGGGGTATGCAGTTAGGTGCCCCTGGCCAGTGTCAGGCCCCGACCAATATGTAATAAATACACATACACACACACGCACACAAAACAGGCTGACAGAAGTGTTCCACTACTCCCAACACGCACCCAGTATCACTACCCCATTCACGCCGTGCAACACTGCAAGCCCCCTCAGCCACAGCTATCTATCTGTCTCTCCACTATTTCCCCTTATAGGTTCGTCCACACAAATCTTCCTAGGAGTTATGATGATGCGCCACTTCTGTCGCCCGGGCCTGTCCAACCCTCTCCCACCCCGCCTTCTTCAGTCACCTAACGAAAGGCCGCGGTTTGCCACTTCTCCCGCTTCTAGGTGCTCTCGCAGCCGCTGTACCTCAGCCTCGAGCGACCGCAACCTCACCATTAACTCCGCCCTCTCCATCCCGCCCGCCCCAGCAGCCGGTCCACCACCTCCCGCACACGCCGGTAGTAGTACCGCCGCGGCAGGACCTGTTGCGGACGTGGTGATGGCAGCCACGGCGGCGGGCTCTGCACCACCCTCGGACAAAACTCCGTGTAATGGGACTTGCTGCATCCGTGGCAACGCGGCACCGGCAGCGGCGGGGCCACCGAGCGCTAGCTTCCCAGCGGCATCCAGCAGCTGTGGCTGCGCCTGCTCCTCGGACACCCAGGTCAGGTCCGTCTGGGTGCCGACGTCCTCCAGCTCCGCCGCCAGAGCCATGCGGATGTTACCGATGTCCCCCACCGAGGGGCAAACCCGGTCGAAGGTTGAAGGGCTGAAAGCAGCAGGCGCCCCAACCGCTCTGGAGTTGCGAAATGCCGACGCGGAAGGGCCCGGGGGAGCTGGCAAACGTGGCAGCTGACGGCAGTACCGTAGTGGCGGGCCCGACGCAACACGCTTCATTACGGTGGAGACAGCGGCCGTGGTCGTGGTCGCTATCTCAGCCGCCGCCGCTGCCCCTTGGCCGACAGCCCGCAAGCGTGCAGCAGCGGGCCTACTCGTCGTACCCATGAGTCCCTTTCCACCCCGGCCTCCACCTTGGCCCTGCACCACATCCGCGTCGGAGGCGTCACCCACAACGCAACTGTCGCCAGCCAGCGCAGTCTGCATGCCGCTAGGTAAGCCATTCCAACAACCGCCGCCGCTGCCGCCGCCGCCGTAGCGATCACTGTCGCCATCGGCGGCACCAGGCGGAGCGGCGGTGACGGCGCCGCCGCCGCCGCCGCCGCTGCCTGGCCCCTCCGGACGACCTCGGGGTGCCCCCGAATCTGTCCGTGATAAGCCCCACATGACATCCAGCAGCTTCAGGATTTGAGACGCGCTGGGCCGTTGCTCCGCGCGGGCTCGCAGACACGCCTCCGCCAGCTTGGCTTCCCCAGGGTAGGTGCGCATGAAGGAGGTGGGCAGGCGGCCCTGCCGAGCCTCGCGCATGGCGTTGGCTCGCTCCATGGCTGTGGAGACGTTGCGGTAGGTGGTGGAATAGAACGGAGGCGAGAGTAAGGGCAGGAAGAGAAGCTGGAGACGTGGCGATTAGACCGGGTTGGGCTGGCGGCAGTGCCACATGCACGCACGGGGGTACTTCCGGACAGCGGCGGGGCGTTTGCTTGGTTGGTATGCGGTATTGTTGTTTATATTATATTATATTATATTACATTATATTATATTATATTATATTATATTATATTATATTATATTATATTATATTATATTATATTATATTATATTATATTATATTATATTATATTGTATTGTATTATATTATACTATATTATATTATATATATTATATTATTACATTATTACATTATTGTTATATTATATTATAATAAAGACGACGGAAATGACAGGATGCAGGTGCAGCTACAGCAGACGCATTCAGTAAGGGACGCGGGTCGGTAAATACGACGGGAAGAGGTGGGGGGGACGAGGGTAGGGGGCAAGACGAACCACGAACGAGTAATGGGGGTGGGGGGCCTGGGAGGCAACAAAATCCCAGCACTGAACTCCTGCGGTCCGCGACACACACACTGGCTGGCTTGGGCAAAAATTACGGGCCATGCGGTGATGCGCACATGCGGTGAACCATTTTGGTGATTGCGCTTCTTCCTCACCCCTTGGACGCACGAGTATACATCAGTGCGCGCCAGTCAGTCAGTGCAGTGCAGTGCAGTGCACACCCTGCATGTGGCTGGTGGACGGCGCTCGCGGTACTTCTGCCCCGTGCAGTAAGCAGCCACTAGGCCGCCGGTGGCCACCACCATGGGACCCAGTGGGGTGACCCAGTGGGGTGACCCAGTGGGGTGACCCAGTTGGGTGACAAGCGCACCCGCCCACATACACGCCCACCAGTTCCGTGAACGCAGAACAGCTCCAGCAGGATAAGGCCCAGCGGGTAGATGTCCACCTCGGGTCCATAGCACGACACGCCGCCGGACTGGTCTTGGAGCTGCTCCGGAGCGCTGTACGATGCCGTACCAACGCCGGACGTATGGGCGGACGACGTGCAACTGTTCCAACGTGGTAGGACTGTGCCGGCAGCTGCGGCCTCCAGCCCCTGTCCGCCGGCGCCAGATGCAGCAGCAGCAGCAGCAGCACTACCAGCAGCAGTGCGCGACACCCCTCGTGGCAGAGCCGGCATCGTTGACAACACGACGGGCTCGCCGTCGCTTCTTGACACCGAGCCTGGCGCGTCCGGGCAGCTCTCCGCCGCGGCTGCAGCGTCATACAGCAGCGGGATCGACGACTGGCGGCGCGAGGGTTTCTGGCGCCCGGCGGTGGCGGCTGTAGCTGCTGCGGAGCCGGGCGGTCCATTCAGAGACGACGTAGATGGCGATGAGGAAGTGGCGGCGGCGGCTGATGGGGTCGCTGCCGAGCTGTGGATGCCGGAGGGCTCCGGAGACTCCTGTGACGAGGAGGAGGACCAGAATCGTTCTTAGCTTGCGTGGCCAGTTCGGCAAATGAGATGTAAGACATCCCCAGCGAACCAACCGGAGTGAGCGAGGCACCCACCCGGACAGCTGGGGCAACTCAGTTGTAGTACAGCAATGACTTAGTAACGACGTAGTAACGACGCAACCAGCTGGCACACAGCTCTGGTTTCCAGTGGTGAGAGAGCTAACAAAACTAAACTCTGCATCTGCATCTGCCATTTACATCAACATCAACATCTACACGTCCGGAAGGCTGATTCACAGCAGCGCCCGACCTCCATGACAGCTACACGCTCCCTAACCTACCCGCAACACCCCGGGCGGGGCAACCTAACACACCCCCGGCTCCGGCGCCCCCCCCCTCCCCTCCCCTTCGCTGCTCAGTGCGGTTTGGAAAAGATGGGTGGCCGCCTTCCTGCCACCGTCCTGTTGTTCCGACGCAGCTTCCTTAACGTCGTTCGCATTCCCCCCTGGGCCCCGGGGGCCCGCTCTGATCCCGCAGGACCGGAACTTTAACTTATAACACCAGCTCACAACGCACCTCGTGCTCCACCGCGAGACCGAAGTCCCCAATCTTCACCAGGTAGCGCTCGGCTGGCTCAGCTGCAGGCAGGGCAATGATGATGAATGCACCAGCGTTGTGAAAAAATGTATGTGTGTGTGCACGTGTGTGTGTGTGTCAGCAGTTTTCAGTAAAAAAAACTTGACAGGCTTGTCTGGCTTTATGGTTGTGGTTGCACACACCCGTCCAATCATTCACCTACACAGTCCGACAGTCCGTAGGTAACATTCCCCCTCCTTTGTTATGGTTGAGCGGCCCCACCTCCTAACGGAGGCCCACGGCCCTACCGGTGTGGGCAGCAGTAGCAGCAGTAGCAGCGGCGCCCACCGCTGCAGCGGCAGTAGGGACCCATCCCGCGATGGGCACCGCAGCCCCTAGGGAGTAGGCGGCTCCGGAACCGCCCCCGCCTGCAGAGCTCGCATGGTCTTCCGGCGGCATTTCAAAAGGCACCAGGAAGATGTTGGCGGGCTTCAAGTCCCGATGGATGATGCCGGCGGCGTGCACGTACGACAAACCCGTCACAATCTGCTCAAGGGGCCGGCGAGGGCAGGACGGCGGAAGCAAGCTGTGCTTAGCTGAAAGGAAAACACATCGCAAACATATCGACAGGCATACGGCGAGTAATTACGAAACGAACAGGGGGGAGAATATAATATGATGTGTGTTTTCCGTGTGCGCGACGCGAACCTGGTAGAAGATGCTGCGCTCCGAAGCAGCGGGTTCCGGAGGGTGCTCAGGTGGCCTTGTGCCCTCACGGCCACTACTGCTGCGCAGGAGCCTCTCCGCGCGCTGCTGCAGCCACAACGTCAGCGTAGGGCCCCTCACCAGCTCCATGCTGATGTACAGCCTGTACGGCCACCGGCGAATGCCGGACAGCAAGGCTGCCGCCGCCAGCTCTGGTGACGGCCGTGCACCACCGCGCTGACGGGCTCCACCTGCTGTCAGGTAAGCACCACCACCACCACCACCACCACCACCACCACCACCACCACCACCACCACCACCAGCATCGCAGCCGGGGGACAGGTCCATGCCTTGCAGAAGTGCAGGGAAGGGGTGCTGCTGGCGGCCGCGGCGGCGCTGATGTCTGCCCTGCTGCAGGATGAGTCTGCGGGTGTCGCCGCCTGCGAATTGCTCCTCCTCGGCGGGACTGCGGATGGACGACACCGGATGGAGTTGGAATGGGTATGACCGACTTCTTCGGTGCCGGGGCCCTGGCAGGGCTGCCTGGCTGGGCGATATGAGGGCGCCCGCACAGGCCCCCCTGCGGGCCCCGGTGCTGCTGCTGCTGCTGCTGCCCGTGAAGCTACGGCGGCCGGGGCGGCGGCTGCGTGTCCTTGGCCGGCCATCGCCAACGCTACGGCTGCCATCCTCACCCTCTTGGCCGCTGCCGCGCCCACTCTGAGGACTACACCCGCTGCTCTCCTCGCTTCCACTGCTGCTGTAACTACCGCTCTCGCGGCGGCTGTTGTTGCGGTTGCTGCTGCGGCTACTGCTGCTGTTGCGACGGCTACTGCTGCGGCTGCTACTGCGGCTGCGGCTGCTGCGGCTGCTACTGCTGCTGCTGCTGCCCCTCGCCGCGCGTCTGCGATGCTCCGACGCACTGGTCTCGCCGTCCTGGTGAAACACGCCCTCGCTGTCACTGCAATTGTGCCACAATTGCCCCTTATGCCCCCCCTTGCCCCCATGCACACCGCGGCCTCGCCCACGACCTTCGCCTCCGCCGCCGTCGCTGTTGCCATCACAGCTGCTTCCACACCCTGCCGGTCCCCGGCGGCCTTGCAGCGCTGCTGCTGCTCGATTTTTGGGAAGCATCGTCTTCAGGCTACAGCCTGCACCCTTTCCGGCTGCATGCGGTCCAGGGCGAGGGACACGCTCCCCAGTGGCATCATCCGCGCCATCATCGCTACCGCGATCAAAAGTCCAGCTGAACTCTTCAACATCATCCACGTTGCCGGCGCCGGCGGGGCCGCCGGCGCCGCCGTAGCCATGGGATGCCATGTCGGAGGAAAGAGCCGTAGCAGAGGATCGCATCGAGCTGCTGTCCGTGCTGCTCTCGGTGGTGCCGCCTGCTCCAGGGTTCCCGCCGACGCTGCTGGGAACCGGTTTTCCCACTCCTCCTGTCTCGCGGCCTGCTGCCCAGCTACCTTGCTCAGCCTGCGCCGTCGCGCTCCTCATCTCCTGGACTCTGCCCAAGCCGTCCCCAATCCCAAATCCACCGGCTGCCTTGCCGCTACTACCGCCGTGACCATCGTCACCACCACCACTGCTATAGCTCGCATCATCCGGAAAGGCGTCACCGTATCCAGGGCCGATAAAGCGGCTACCCCGGCCCATGCCAATACCGATATCGACACCGAGGCCTCCACCCCTAGCCTGCGGGTATCCCCCCGCGGCAAGTGAGGGGCTCATGGCTATCGTGCCGCCCGGTGGTACGCGAATGGACTCGACTGAACTGGACAGTAGCGACCGCAGTGAATGGGTCGGAGTGGCGCGAATAGGGCCCTCAGGGCTGGTGCTAAGACTGGTAACCAGCGGCTGTGATGACCGCGGTTGCAGCGGCGGCGGTCGGCGGCCCCGCCGTCCCGCAGGCAGTGGTGGCCACGGGGACCCGCGCTCCAGCAGGTTCTCGGCTTCAGGGGTGCCCGGTATGGAAACCACTAGCGGCGGCGGCGGCGGCGTCGCCACCATCGCACGACCATCATCACGCCCGGACGAGCTTCCCTCCTCGGTGCTGGAGGAGCCCGTCGATCTGCGGCTGGCAGACAGAGACGGAAACGCCGACTCGAGGCTCCGCCGCCGTGTCGGCTCTGAGCTGCTCGGCGGCAATGTTACGATGGGCAAACCGTGTTGCGACCCCCCAGCCGCCGCCGCCGCCGCCGCTGCTACCACAGGATCCGCCACCGCCCACAGAGGCAGGGGCATGGACATGGCGTCTGGGGACATGGGCAAATCTATCAGCGGTTCCATTGGTGACGGTGGGGACGACTTCCACAGCTGGGAGGCAATGGCAGAGGGGGTAGTGGTGGGGGCGAGGTGGTGCAGAGCGCCGCGGAGGGGGACGTGGTGAGGGCCCCGGAGTGGCATCGCTGGCGTGCCCAAGCCTTTGCCTCTGCTGCTGCCTCTCCGGCTGTCGGCGTTACTGTCGCTGTCTTCACCGCTACCGCTACCGCTGCTGCGGCTGGTGCTGCCACCGCTACTACTAGTGCTACTGTTGCTACGACTGTCCCGAAGCTCTCTGATCCGAAATTTCGTCTGCGGGTTATTGGCGCGGTTGCCCCGTCCGGCCCCGCCACGGCTGCCGTCCGCACGAGTGAGTTGGGCAGCCGGAATGTGGTTCGAAAGACCGCGTGCGAGTGACGGAGGTTTTACCGCTGCTGCTGCTGCTGCTGCTACTGCTAGTGCTGCTGCTGGAGCTGCTGCTGCCATCCGGACGGTGCCCTTCTTGTCTCCGGACCGGACGCCCGGCTTTGTTGCCGCCATCGCGGGTGGGCGGCCTGCGGGGCAGGCATTCACGTAGTCGGGAGGCGGAGGCGGAGGCGGAGTCGGGAAACGCGCTCAACGGCAACCCCACTGGCGAGAGGGTGGTGAGACGGTTAGAGGGTGCACGCATGCAGGCGTTACTGCCGGGGAAAGGCGTACACCACTGCAACATACAAACACACACACGCACACGCACACGCACCGGCACCGTACCATACCTGCTGCAGCCACCCGGGCGGCCTCGGCCCCTGCTGCTACCGACAGCGCCTGGAGGAATGAGAGCGGGACCACCGTGCAAGGGGTGAGGGAAGTTGGACAGCCAGATATCGCCATGTTACCTAGGAGCATAGCAACGAGGTTGGTTGGTAAATGCATATGTGTGTTGCCCAGGGGTGCCTAGCCAGCAGCAGCAGCGGTCGCAGCAGATGCCTCCGCGGTACCCCAAGAGAGGCCGAACGAACCCAAGGCTCAGCACCACACAGGCCCTCGCGCCCTCCAACCCCACACTAGAGACTCTCAAAGCCAGAACCAGAAACGATCCCCAACGGGCCCAATTGCAAAATATACAACCTCCTAACTTCCCCCGCACACACACACATACACTTCCTAAACCTCTTGAGTTCCCCCCCCCACACACACGCGCGCGCACACACACACACACACTTGGGGGATCAGGAAATGCACATATCTAGCTACTTGGCGGATTCGGTCTACCATAACATGCGAACCAACTTGCCATCGCGAACGTTACACCGAGCACAGGATTGCACCTAAGCCCTTCCCTTCTTTCACCTGCGCCGGTTGCGCCTGGCCGGCCATCCCCCGCCTCACACCGCCCCGCTGCAGGTGCTGGCCTAGCTTCTCCCAGGCCGGCTCGATCCATGCGTTGTAGTAGCGGACCACGTGCGGGCTGCCGTCCAGGCCCGCCAACGCCTGAACCTGAGGGGAGGCGGAGGAGGGGGAGGAGGAGGAGGAGCCCACATGGTACCAGTCGGGAGTCGGAGGCGGGGAAGAGGTGTAAGAACAGTAAAGCCTTTTAAAGCCCCTCGGTGAAAACAATATTTTCACAGATGGTCACAAGGCTTTACTGTTACACTTTTATACAACAATTTTTTATAATACAAAATATATTTTATAAACAATACTTTATAATAGAAGCATGGAACAACATCAAGGATATCATTTTTTATATGGAATATTAGGGCAAAATGATCTTGCATTTTAGGCAATAAAACAGCTATATATATACTGAATAAGGTTGTTGCGAAAACGGCAGAAGCCAACAGCACATCACCAATTGGTGTCGAAAGACCCCAACTCCTGCAGTCATGCACGTGGGAACGGAACCGACGGAGGCCTGCTGTGCCGCGGGTACTGCACATGCAGGCGGTACGACAGCCAACTCGCAAGAAGTGAGTGAGGCCCCGCCGCCGAAACCCCCCGGGCCCACGCAGCCGGCGGGAAATGAGCGACCCGACGCGCCAGGCAAGGCCCCGCCGCCGCAAAAGGGCCGGGCCAGACAACTACATCACCACCGAGGGCACAGCCAGGGTCGAGCAGGCACATCATCAGCGACAAGACGACGTTCGATGCATATCCGTGGTGCTGCTTACGCTACTTAACCACATACTTGTAATCATATTCGCGGCCGCCATTACCCTAATTAAGACCGCTCGGGCCCCCTAGATGGTTTGAAAGGGATGCTGCAACAACGCGTCTAGGTCCAATGTGATTGAAGTGGAGCCTCACGAGCCAGCCGGGCTTCAACCCTCACAGCATACACATACACATACACATACACACATACACATACGCCCAGCCTAAGGACAGCTACCGGTTGCCACCAATCAGCAATCAGCAGTGGCGCAATCAGCAGTGGCGCAATCAGCAGTGGCGCATACCTTACCTCTCTGAGCAGCTTGACGTGCCGCATCTCCAGCTGCTCCTGGGGGGCCCAGGGGGGCAGGTCGGAGCGGAACGCCACGGTCTTGAGCGCCATCACACGGTGATCCAAACGGCTGATAAGGAAGGGAGTTTTAGAAACAGAGGGGCAAGAGGGAGGATTACTTGCAACTGAGGCCGCGGGGAAGGCAGGAAGGAGGAGGGAGGGTGTTGGGCGGAGCACTAACAGCGCAGGGTGTCGGGAGCGCAACGCATGGAGGGAGGGTCGAGTGGTTAGAAGCCTAACAATTCCTTAAAAATACCCGTACAGAATAATGCCCGAAGGCCGATAAGCAAGAATGTCGTGAAGGTCGTCGCACAGGTGCGCGAGCAGCAGTAGGGATGATGTTTATATAACATGAGGCGCAAAGTGACATGGAACTGGGTAAAGTGACATGGAACTGGGTAAAGTGACATGGAACTGGATAAAGTGACATGGAACTGGGTAAAGTGACATGGAACTGGGTAAAGTGACATGGAACTGGGTAAAGTGACATGGAACTGGGTAAAGTGACATGGAACTGGGTAAAGTGACATGGAACTGGGTAAAGTGACATGGAACTGGGTAAAGTGACATGGAACTGGGTAAAGTGACATGGAACTGGGTAAAGTGACATGGAACTGGGTAAAGTGACATGGAACTGGGTAAAGTGACATGGAACTGGGTGCCCCTTTTACCAAGGGGCACGCCTTACGTTCTAGGGGGTGCGGTGTCGCCAATATACAACAGCGGTACCGGCATTTCCCCTGCGGTTCTGTGTTCTCGACAGCGGCAGCAAGGGCGGCGGCCGGAACCCCATCCCCATCCCAATCCCAATCCCCCTGCTGGCTCCCTTTCTACTCCGCCGACCCCTCCACGCTCCCCCTCCCTCTCCTCCTCCTCCTCTCCCTCCCCCCAGCTCCCACATACCTGCGCACAGCCACCACGCTGCCGAAGCCGCCCTTTCCCAGCGGCCGCAGCTGCTCCAAACTGGCCCTGTACTTGCGGCACAGCGGCAGAGAGAGGCGCGCGCAGCGTTGAGGGCTGGGTGGGTGATTGCTGTTACGAGGGCAAACCAGCCGAGGGGCCTAAGAAGTAACCACATAAAATCAAGAAAACCGAAACCAAGCAAACACGCAGCCTATATATACACAGCATCCAGCTAACCCTGTAGTCCTCAATGACGCACATAGGGGGTCGCATGGCCCAGCCACACAGGCGATGATGATACTGTGCGGCACGCGGCGCCGCGTCTTCAACCATGGCTCGCCTTTCCTTCCTGCCCACACCCCTCCCATCCTCCCTGCCCGCCCATACCCCTCCCGCGCTCCTCCTTCCTGGAGTCTTGACAGCAAAAACGGACAGGAGGTGCGTTGCGGACAGATCAGGAGACGGCGGGACGTGCTCTCCCCGCACCCCTCTCATTTAGCTCATCATCATCATCATCATCATCATCATCATCATCATCATCATCATCATCATCATCGTCATCATCATCGTCGTCATCATCATCATCATTATCGTGTCGTCGCAGCCCGCAACCATGTGTACGCATTCTACATTCGTGGAGTCCACTTTCCGTACCTGTACGGCGATACGACTCGCAGCAGCTGGGGCGACAGGCCCCCCTCCCGTGCGGATGCCATCGCCACGGAGAGCGCAAAGGCCGCCGCGGAGCAGCGCCCCTCCGCCAACCCTTCATGTGCGTGTGCGACCCATAAGGGTTAGGAGGACAGAGGCCAAAAAGCAGACGTGGCGTTACATGACGTGGCATGACAGGACATTTGGGGCTATTTCTGCCGGATTTCTGCCGATGAGGCGATCCGAACCCGTCCCTTCGGACCTCCGCTACCCCCTGTCAGTGCGAGTCCCACCCGTCAGTTCCTCCGCCACCCGTACTATCCACCGACTCTTGACCGACACAGCGCCTTCACGCGACCAAGCAGGTACCCAGCTGCAGCCCCCAGTGGAACCTGCTGCACCCCCTTGCTTTGCAAACCGGTTCCCACTCCGACCCAATTCCTTCCTTTTCATATCCAGCTTGCTGTGTGATTGCCTCGGGGCTAGGGCCCCGGCATGCCTCCCCTGAGGGGAGAGCTGGGGAGGGCCTTCTCGCGGCGGCCCGTGACGTCCTTCCTCCACAAAATTCATTCCTACCGAACCCCTCCGCCCATTCCGATGCCGCGGCTCCAGCTCTTTCAGGCCCCGACCTCCGCCCACCTGCGTGTTTTGCTAAGATGGCCCCTAGCGCTAACCATCTTACCGGCTAAATGGCCGGGTACACCCCCCAGGGTGGACAGGGCAAGCTGGATGGCATGGATGGCATGGAGGGCCGGCTCGCCGACGCTGCCGCCGTGGTGGGCCCCCCCGCTGCTGCTATGGCGGCGGCCGCCTGAACTGCTTCCTCCTGAACCATCTTCCTCCGAGTTTTCGCTGTCCTCAGATATCCTACCCCATGGACGACGGCCGCCGTCCCTAGCCGCCTGTGCATCACCGTAGCCGGTAACGAAAGCAGCAAGACAAACACCCGGGCCAAGTGGAGATAGGGAAGCGGGAGAGTTAATCGCCACATTTTTGAGCAACTTGGCAGGCGTGCACGCGACCGATGCTCCCGAGGACAGAGACGAGTTCAACCAGGACCGGTGGCAAAGGGTACGGACGAGTTGGTTAAGTCATGAACTACAAGGGCTACGCGCTTGCCAAAGATATGATGACTGTGAGGTGGGTCGCTCGAAATTGGATTTAATTTGCACATTTTCACATGTTGGAGGGACGAGTCCAAGTGATCCTTAACGACAGTAACTTCCATCAGGTTCGGAATTATTCTCGGGAGAGGAAGGTGTTCGCCGCAAGTTTGCTTTCGCACCTGGCGCTGTACATTTATAACCTTGCTGGTTTCCCTGGTGGCGCGACATCCCGCGGGTACTGGAGTTGATCTGTGCGGGACACCAGCGCGGGCCAACGCCCCTCGCAGGGCGCCTGCAACCGCCTCGCTCCACGGTTTCGCGTCCAAGATGGCTTGCAGTAAGCGCACCTGTTGCATGGCAAAAGCAGCGCCATCGGGACATTGCATTTTTTGGACTCCCGAACGTTACGAACGTTCTCGTCCATCGCCAAGCAGGAATCACCCCGGCTTTGCCCACAAAACGCACCTCGCCATGCTGAAGAGGTTGGTACTGGACCAGGGCATGCTGTCCACCAGCTGTCGCAGCGTCTGTCCCATGAGAATGCTCCGTGCACACGTTCCTAGACGACATGGAGCGCCCTAATTATTGTTATCACCATCAGTCCCTATAAATGATTAAGAGGCTATTCAACCCGATCTACAATCAGATGGATGTTGACGTGATGCGGTTCGCGCAAAGGGCTCGTTTGATCATATGGTAAACGTAGGTTGTCATACTTCAAGCTACAGCATGAACGGAAAGAAAGACAATTGGAAGGATTAATCTATCAGGAAGGGTAGTCTCACCGCTCCACAGCACGGTTTCGGAAAACGCGTCCTGTACAGCACAGCAGAGAAAACTTTGCCAGGGTCTTCGCCTGTGACGACAAGGCAAAATAGAGTCTAGTTGTACCAACATGCGGCAGAGGCCCATTGATGTCAACCAGACTACCGTCTTCGTCGATACGCAACCACGCCCGGTCAACTGCGGCGCGGTGCCGAAACGAAGATTCCAAAAGGTAAGCACTTTCGTCTACAAGGGTTGGTTCAGCATTACTTCCTTCTACCTACAAATCTTACGAATGTGTGCTTAGGGAATGAAGCCCTTCCCAACATGTCCGTCGCCGCCCCAGCAGAGCAATCACCACCGAGGGTCCATCACCACCGACGTTTTGCCCTCCCCCATATCCCCTGGGCCGCCTCTCATCTGCAGGGGGTTGGATGGCCAGACGGCGGCGGCAGCGAGGGAGATCAGATGACGGAGGGCCGTGCGTGGAGCCTCTTGGGGGTGGCGGTGATGCTGCTACTCGGAGGCGTCTACCTGGTTCGCGGCAACCAGTACGCCCATCTCCATCGGCAGATCCAGGAGGCGTACTTCATGTGTAGGTGGGGTGTAGGTGGGATATAACTTAGGGTTTAGGCGTCAAGAGTCAAACGTTATTCTGGAATCACCCCACATGGAATGCAGAGCGCGCCGTCGTTGGGTTGGGAAGAGGGCAAATCATTACTTCGCGGGGGCTCGATCCCCTTCTGCTGGGCATGCTGGGCTACGGATGCCATATCGGAACGTGGTGTGGTGTGGTGTGGTGTGTTGTGGGCGGGCAGCGGCTGTCTGAAAGGGGGCCTTATCCCCTTCAGTGCACGAGCTTTGCCCGTTATTGTGAGGACCATGTGCGCACGGTTAGGGTAGTTAGGCACCGTTAGGTGGATTTAGTTGCATGTCATTATTCATACACATAGCAGGGCCCCGCCTCCAGGGGGCACTTTTGTCCATATGCCACGGCGCCCCACTTCGGGCCACCCCAGGCCCCCTCCTTTCTTTCATTTGCCTTCATTTCCTGGCGCAACGCCTCCTCACCTCACCCACAGTAACCACATAGCGACAACCACCTTCCGATCACCATCCGCCTTCCGCCTTCCAACATGTGAATGACTTCCCCGGTGCCTGATGAGACATGTGCATGCATATCCCTTGCAGGAGCGGCCCGCAACAACGATATATGCACACACATACATACACACATACATACACACATACATACACATACACAAAATAGCTTCCCAAATGGCCCTCCTCCTCAACACGCATCCCCGGGAACGGCCCAGATGACGCTTTCGTACTCCCCTGACCCACACACACCCACCCAACCTGGCCGCAATCCCCGCCCTCCCTGCTCCCCGCCCTCCCCGCCCCCGTCCCCAACCCCCAGACCTCCAAGAGTGGGAGGGGCCAGTCCGGGACAGCTTCGCCGCCACCAGCTGGGAGCTGCACGTGCATGGACTGCTAGACAAACCGCTGCCGCTGCAGCCCAGATCCTGGCCATCGAAGCGCGTCCTGGTACCCCCTGGTACCTCGAAATTCAACTCCAACTCGAACGGGAAGGAAGCAGTCGCAGTGGCGATTGAAACCACGGACGAAGGAACCTCGGCCGCCGCTGCCGCCACTGGCAGGGAGGTGCAAGGAGAAGGAGGGGGAGAAGGAGAAGGAGGAGGAGGAGGAGGGCAAGGGAGAAGGAGGCGGAGGGGGAAGAGGCGGAGGAGGCGACGGGTCGCCGCGCAGTCGTCCCTCCTGGAGTTTCGTTTGGAGGGTCTGTTGGAGCTGTTGCACCCGGCGCATGTGCCCCCTCTGGACCGCCACAAGGCCGTGCACAACCGGCTGTGGCGACCCGTGGGTCCGGAGCTGCGGCGGCCGGCGGCCATGACACTGGTCGGCCGAGACCATCTCACGGGGGTGGAGTGGCGGGTGGATCTGGGCTCTGTGGTGTTCACGCGGGAACGGACGGTACCGGCAGGTGCGTTGCGTTGCGTTCGGCAGCTGCAACAGCCTTGCTAGGTTAGATGCATGCATGCAGGCTGCGAAGGTCCTAACGTAGCAGCAGCAGCAGCAGCACCAGTAGCACCAGCAGCAACAGCAGCAGCAGCCTCGAGCCGCCTCGAGCAGCTTTGGGATGGGTCAACTCCAGCTTTGGGCAGGTTTTCTTCCCTACCAGCGGGTTTGCGGTGTCAGTTATTATTATGGTGTCAGAGCTGGATAGCTGGATAGCTTGAAGTTAAAGAATAGCTAATAAGTGGCCGGGAACGTAGTCAGGCCGCGGCCGTGGGGGTAGTAGTATTGGTGGATCGAACCGGATGTCAGGTTCACCGCGATGGACCGATGGCACACGATTGCGGCAGCAGCAGCAGCAGCAGCAGCAGCAGCCTCGAGCACCTCTCGTCACTGCGCCCCGACTCTCCCCCTCTTCCCTGCACCTACCGGAGGGGGTGGGGAACTGCGGCCCTGACCTGGTGCTCCTGGACCAATAAAAGATCCGCCCAACCCCATCAAATCCCCCAAACCCCCAATCCCCCAACTCCTCAAACCCCCCCGACATGTACGACCTCGCGACTTGGTCTTCAGGCGGCGAGGGTCGCTGCATGTACGACGAGCGCGGGGTGTGGCATGATGACGACACATGTTCCGTACATGAGTACCTGTGGGGGCTGTGCGTCAAGGTGGCTCGCAACGCGGCCACGGGGGCCTTCTCCGTGGACAACTCCACGGGGGGCGGTCCGGGCTGTGGTCCGGAGTGGGGCTGGGAGGCGGGGCAGTGGCGACGGCTGGACGAGCGGCGGCACAGCATCAATGGCCGGGTGTACCTGCCGATGTCCGCACGCAATGCCACGATTGTGACAGTCAGGTGCGGGGAGGGGGAACGCGTGTGTGTGTGTGAGAGATTTAGATGTTGGGCCCTGCTTTTAGGTCTTTTAGGTCTCCCACCTTTTCTTTCCGAGGGGAAACGGGGGTTGTCATGTTTGCACTAACCTCCCAATTTCGCCTCCCGTAATTGCTTTCTGTACAAGTCGCCGATGTCCTCTTTTCCCTTGCCCCCTCCCCTCCCCTGCCCTCCCTTGCCCCCTCCCCTTCCCCCGCGGCCCTCCCCCCCTTGGCTCTCTCTCCAGACACGCCAGTGACCCCGCCATCCGGGAGAGCGACATGGTCCGGCGACTGGCCCCCGGAGTGGAGCAGCAGATCCTCTTTCACGCAGTGGGTGGGTGGTAGTGGAGTGGGTGGGCGCTGCTGCTGTTTACTGCTGCTGCTGTTGCTGCTGTTGCTGCTACTGCTGCTACTGCTGCTGCTTCCCCTCGTGCTGACACTTGACCGGGAGCTGCTTTGCTGTGATGGTGCGGGCTGGGCTGAGTCGCCCCACACTGGCTCGCCTGGTAGCCTGGTAACCTCACTGCTGCAACTGCAAACTGCAACTGGACAGGCCTGGCGATGTGCTTCCTGGGGCTGGTGCTGCTGCTGTCGGTGGCGGCCTTCGCGGCGCCCACGTTTCTGCGCCGGGGCCGACGGCTGCTGCGGCGCCGGGGGCGAGGGAGCAGCGGCTACGGGGAGGGTGAAGAGGAGGGGGCCATGCGGCGCTGGGCGTGAGGGTGCGCGGCAAAGGACGTCCGGGCCGTCCGGCTCCCGCCGTGGCACATGAGGGTCGTGTCGGGACGGGGCAATTTTTTGTGATGGATGCAGCGTGTGTCGCGGTGCATACACGTGATGGTGTGAAGATTCGGGAGGAGCTCCCCGGCGCAAGGAAGCAATCGGACGCGGGTGGAGTTCTATGGTTCCGCTATATGCGCTTCAGATGTAGCTGGATAACACGCGCACTTGTGCCCGACAAAACTCTGACGGCTGCAATGATTACCCAGTGGCGCAGTGCACGTCACAATTCCGAGATGAGAACTTTCCGAGACCAGGCAATCTGGTGATTTGGACTGGACTAAATATGTTCGTAAGGTTGCAGTATCCAATCCGTTCGATTTACTGAGCGCGATGAAAAGTTCGAGGACTGGAGAAATCGGCGACTAGCTCCTTTAAGTTTGCTTCTCCTTGCTAGACCGAGGCATATACACACATCGTCACAGCGGGCAGTACGAAAATTAGGCCAGAGACGAGCACGCATCCAGCCTGAACCACAAACCACTATTGCTCAAGCCAGCCTGATGTTCTTTTGCTCTCTTCGCACTCCAGAAGGCAGCAACCGACCACCCACAGCTGTGTGTCCTCACTGGGGCAAAACAGGAGCACACAATGTTTAAGGGCACCATATGGACATGTGCGGTCGTGGTTACTCCGTTGCGCTGCGCCGTAATAAGCCCCTGCGCACTCCCACCCACTATAAGATGCTGCCAAGACTGACTGCCGAGCACGTAATCGCATGACGTCTTACAGTTGTGGTCACCCAAGCAGAGGCAAATTATTATGTCCCCGATTGAGACCACCCGGACACAACCCGAACAGAACCACCACCACGCGCACAAAGCCGCCGACTCCTGCCCAGGGGGCTTATAGCTGGCGGCCGGCAGCGCCCAACCGCTCTGAGCACTTCATCGGCGGCCGCGCCACACCCAACCACCTTACATCCGCCCCGCACTCCACAACAAACACACGTCTCGACATACGATCCGCCTGGAGAACCACATGCAGCACAGCAGCAGCAGCAGCAGCAAAGGCGGACCGGAGCAAACAATCTGGGTCTAGGTGCCGCTCAGCGGCCTCTCCCCGCTGCTGCTGCGCGTTTAGGCCCCCCGTCGAGAAACCGTCGTTGGGACTGGACCACTTGGACCACCCCGTCAGCATGACAGTACTGGACGCCCAGCTGTCTAGACCTTGGCCGCGGTGGAGCGGAACTCCGTCCTTGCAGCGCCCGCGCCGACACCCACAGTGCTGCTGTCGCCGCCCACCGAAATGTCGACCGAGGGGCGCATGCTGGAACATGTCTCCAGAGCGCTGCACAGTGTTAGCAGAAGCAGTCGTAACGTTAGTAGCAATCGTCAAGGCGGTTAGGCAGAGCGGGGTGCTAACAGGTTCTCGAAGTAACCTCTAGATGAAGCCTCGGAATCTAAAAAGAGCGAAGAATAAAAAAAGTGACGATGAGAGCAGATAATGTTAAGAAAGGCCGAAGCCAGGCATTAGTACACACCGACGACTCAAAGCCCTTCTGGTTGAGCTCTCTCTTGGAAGTTGCATCGTCCTGACCATCTAGGGAGATTATTATCCAGCAACGACTGACCCAGCAGAGGAGAAAAACTGGCGCAAAAAAGAAAAAACAAATCGTGTACTTTACCCGGAACACTCGACTCAGCCCTTTTCAAAAGGCGCTTCTGTCGTGCAACCTCCTCCTACTACTACTCACACCCAAACTGCAACCCACTTCACCTAACCACCAAACATCTCCCACCAAGTTAACGTCAACCCAGTTCTCTCACCGGTGCACAGGGTGCGAAAGGAACTCCCGCATGACCTCAGCGTCCGTGGGGACGCCGGCGTCCACCGCCACAAACGCCTGCTGCTCGACAATGTAGTCGAAGCGCGGGGCCCATTTGCGGCTGCCGAGGCGCGCCGTGTACGAGCAGTTATCGACCATGAACGCCACACCGCGGGCGTGCATGTACGGGTTGAGCGAGTCCACGGCCTCAATGATAGACTCGTTGCAGATCTCGCTGAAGGGGTGACCCTTCTCACGGAGCACCTGGGGTGGGGGTGTGATGTGATGTGAGGTAATGGTTGGTGGCGGTAGGTACGTGGCAAAGGCACGCATCAGCAGCTCGATGGCGGATCAACATTGGATGGGAATTAAAGGAATTGAACGGTAAGAAGAAGCATCAAATAATATTCTTTAAAAAAGGGGCAAAAGGCGACGCCGCTTTCAGGTGCAATCTTCTTAAGTAAACTATAGAGAAGGTCGCCCGCCCCTTGTTCTCCTCCCCCCCCCAACGTACACAACACACACACATACGCATACCCAAACTTCGGCTCCGCTTCCTCACCTCGACGGTCGCCATCATGACTGCCACGTAGACGCCCGCAGTGAAAGGGTTCAGCGGGATCTTGGACTCGTCACGCTGGGCGCGCACACGCTGACCCACCTGCGGTTTTGCAGGCGTTGAAGGCGGAGCCCGGGGGGGGGGGTAGCACTTTTTTAGATCATTTTTTTAAGAATGATCACCCAGGGCAAAACAAAAGCGAGCAAGCAATTGGGAGTTGGGCGGTAGGGCCCAGATGACATCCGTGCGCGGGGGGAGCCCCGGGTAGTGGTCCACAAGCAAACAGCAGCACCAGAACTTGTCGCCGTCGAGGACTATCACGGTGGATATACCACATGTGCAGCAGCGCGGTACCCAAATTCACCAACAGCAAGCCACCACTACTTGCTCTGACATTCCTCATCATTTGTTCTGCAGCCTGCACATAAAAATCAACATATACTAATAAACTAATTAACACGGCCCGACCACTCACACCAACTGTCATTTTATTGCGCCCTGCTAACTGTTGTAATGTTACCATCTACCTCGTTCGAAGCAAAACATCAGACCGGATGCTGCGTTCCTGTCCCACGCCTGAACGGCTGCACTGCACTAGACTGACCTCAGACCGCTTCACGACATGCACATGGTCGGTCACACACGGTTTGAAACGACACACAAAAAGCCAATCGGTGATCCCATCCCTTGCCCTCCCTGCCTCCACACTTTTACCAGATTTGATGCGTACCAAACCGAACTAACACACGCACCTTCCACATATAGGTTTGATCAATCTTGCCCATGGGGAAGCGGTCGAAGCGGCTCACTGCCTGAACTACGGAACGGATCTCGTTGCCGCTGGCCACATCCTCGTAGATCTCAAAGCAGATGTCCAGAGCGGGCTTGTAGGACAGGCTGTAGGCCTGTGTGGCACAAACATCATCACAACACGCGATCAGTCACTTTGCTACTTGCGTCTGACAACATGGCTGTGTACAGCTTGTAGCTATTGCAACGTGTCTGAAAACGGCGTCGCCTGAACAACGGCACCGCATTTTTGACTGCGTGGGAGTGGAAATAATGAATGTTCCATGCGCCCCCTCGGCGCCGCTACCTGCCTGGGGACGGTTATGGCGCCTAACCCTCCAAGGTACAGGTACAGGTACGTCCCCCTTGCTTTGCCTTTGCTTTGCTCAAGATTTAGGAAAATAGTATCTAACCCGGTGAGAGATCTCTGGTAAATCAACCAAAATATTTCTCCAAAAAGGCTTCATGGTCTCCATTTGCCTCGCCCCTCCCCCTTGCCCACCTGCTCAAAGATCTTCTTGTCTTCCGCGTTGAAGGACTCGTACACGGCCAGCATGCCCTTGGTGGAGATGGTCCTGGAGATTGGACCAGTGATGGACTCGACGCTCTGCTTGAACGCTTCCTCATCGCTGGGGGAAGTGACCAGAAGTACGATAGGGTGGAACACACACGCGGCAAAAGGGGTTTCACGAAATTTCCGAATTTTGTTCACACTTGGCACACGTAATATTTGAGTGAGAGAGAGCAGACGCGTGCACCTAAACCTGACGTCAGAACGACAGAGCTCCAAAGAGGAGACAACCCACCACCATCATCGCCACCACCATCACGCCCCTGCGGCCCGGGCCAATTACGGGTCGCATCACAGGGCCCAATACACAACAACAGCCCCATCACCCCGGGTCGTGCAGGAAGGGGGCATTATGCGCAATGAAATGACCAGACATACAGACCACCCCAACAAAGGCGTGCCAGCCAACGTCCATGTACGGAGCAGCTGTACAACAGCTTGTGGATTGGAACTGTCGCCTGATGCAACGTATACAACACAAGGGCGCCACACAAGGCCAAGACGGCTAGATTACGACTCGATGCAGGGCATTTACGGCCCAGTCGCAACACCACGAACGCCGATTTAGCTCAATTAGCTAGTGGCGCAAACGTCACCAAAAGAACAATCTAATTGTTTGGCTCGTAGCAGCACACCCTCGTAGCAGCACACCCGAGCAATGCTGCTACACACCCGAGCAAAGATGCTGCGCGCTACTAGAACTGAACCGCGCACACTGCTGCTGTGCACCACTGGAACTGGATAACACCCGACGTGTTGCCTTCTTTAAACTGCATCAACGCTAGGGCCCCATACAGGCCCTAGGAACCGACACACACACACACCGGAAACCCACATCACCTCCCACACCGGCAGGAGCAACAACGGCTACACAACGAACAACGCTACACACAGTCGTCCACAGCCCCCACAGACTCTATACATATATGTTGAGACCTGGGCCCCCACATACACACATATACACGACAAAATACACTGCTTCAATCATCGGTTGGTTTGTCTTAAATCCTCTCCACCCACCCCCACCCCACAACCCACGCACACCTTAACTCCCAGAAGGAGCAAACAAGGGGGAACATTGTGTGCCCCCAGCCACGCATCCAACCTTATCCCAGCCCAAACTTATCCCTCGTGAATCCACAGCTTCGACCCTCCCGTTCGGCCTCACATTCATTTCGACCCCCTGTGTGAGGCTGCTGTAGCTGCTGCTAGTCCTTCTGCAGCCGAGGCACATGGCCGCGTGCACGCAAGACCCCCCCTTGCAAGGCCTCCTGCTGCTGTGGCCTCCTGCTGCTGTGACCAACAGCGCCCCCAGGACGACCGCGCTTTGGGTTAGCACACACCCCCACGGCAGCAGGGGCAGCAGGGCCGATTGACAGTACGCAGCTTGGGGCTACACCCCGGGAGCCAAGTCAACACGCCATTCCATCGTCCAAGCATTTCATCGCCACCGCGCCCGCCACAATCACGACCACCTAGTGCTCTTGGCCGCCCCGTTGTTCTAAACTGGATGCTGGACGCCACAATGTGGGAAGCTGTCCCGGGCAGCTATGTGTGGCCGCCGGCTGTGGGCGGTTTTGCACCAAATCCTTGGATGGCCTTTCGCCTTGAGCCATTCGTCCTCCATCTGCTGCTGGTGCTGCTGGGTCTGTACATGCTGATGTCCACCATAATCCACATCCACACATCTTCCTCAAACCAGCGATACAACCAACGCCCTTCCGCCATGTGAAACAAACCGCACCTTTCCCCCATGTCAACCCCCCAGGTGAGCTCCCTCTCAGATTGATTTTCCCCCTTTCCAGGCTAAGCTGTAGACGAACCCATACATACATACATACACACAGCCCTGCCCCACCTCATGCCCTGGCGAGTGTAGCGGCGGAACAGCGCCTCCACAATGCCGTGCACAGCACCCAGCAGCACGCAGCGCTCGCCGTAAATGTCCGACTTGTACTCGCTCTCCAGTGTCGTGGCTGTGGGGAAAGGAAAGGCCGAGGGGGTTGCCCAAGGTAAGGCCCTCACAACGCACTAGTAGTAGTAATAGTAGTAACAAGGGAAGCAGTAACGCGTTGAAGAGTACAGGGGAAGGGGCGGCTTCAGCACACGGTGGAAACTTCGGAAGGCCCAAAACACTTCCGAACACCACACCATCCACAAACCCTGTTTTCCATATTGTTTGTTTCGTCATCCAAGCAAGTTACGGACTGGTTGGTGAACACAGGAAGGAATGGATGATGGAAGGAAGGACTGTTGGTGCACAGCCTTTTGTTGTCCTTTTGCTGGCATCACCGCGAATATTTAAAACACACAACACACAATCAATGACAGTCAAGTCGTTGCATTTGGGTAGCCAGAGGATTTGGGTCGCTGTACTTCGACAGCACCCGTGTTATGCGGGGCCCTGCAAAAAAAGAACCCAACGGGAAGGCAGAAACCCAATACGCGATGACGCGGTGGCGCGGTGACTTACGGAAGGCGAATGGGGCACCGACGGCAACGGCCCAACCGATGGCGATGTCGGCAGCGTTGCCCGTAGCATCTTGGTGGATCGCAAACGAGCAGTTGATGCCGGCACCGTTAACCGACTTGCCCTGCTCGTATAAGCGGCGCACAGACGGGCCCATCCCCTGCACGTCATCCAGTACGCGGGCCGGTTAGCTTGCATGCCACCCGATCCGGTGTGGGCACACCCAAGGCAATTTGATACATTTAGCTGCTGCCCTCAGGGTTAGAGTTGCTCCTACCTTGGGGGCAACAAGCACCACGTTGATGTCCTTGCGGAAGTCCACGCCGTCGTTACGCATCACACCAAGAAGGAAGCCATGGCTCAGACCCAGCGTGGCGCCCGGCTTCATCGCCGCGAGGACGCGCGGGTACAGCTTAGCCTACACAAACGAACATGAGCTTTCTGAAAGGAAGGTGGTCGGGGAGCTTTGCAAATGCAACTGAAGGACATTTCTCGGCCGCCAGGAATGTCATGGTATGGAAATTTGCGCGCAGCATTCTATAGGTGATAATTATTACCTGGGCACCGTCTGAAATCAGCAGGACAACCAGGTCTGAGTCCGCAATCACGTCGAAGACCTCCCCCAGAGTGCCATTCGCCTTGCTGAAGTTGCATGCCTCCGCCTCGGCCCACGAAGGAGAGTCAGGGCGCAGACCGATCGCAACCTTAATGTCAACACCAGCCTCAGCAATAGAGTCGCGCAGGTTCTGAGCTTGAGCAGGCGCCTGAGAGCCCCAGCCAATGACGCCAATCTTCTTAATGCCCTTAAAGGCGTCCTTCAGGAGCGGGTACTTGTCGCGTCCACCACGCACGATGTACTCCTCAGTATCAGCAAACTTCGCCAACTCCTTGTTAAACACCTTCGTGTCGAAATCCAGAGCTACGGCGGCAGCGACGCCGACGGCATGGCGCCGGCTGGGTTGGGCGACCCGGACGGCCTTCACGGCCGCAGACGGGCGCGATCCACTCAGGACACGGGTCTTGCTGTTCAGGAGCTGCATTTTCGTCTACAATTTAGTAAAAGGGAATCTCATGTGCGTGTGAAAGGGGTAATACCTGGATCGGCGGCGCCAGCCCCGAAACCAGCTTGCGGTTAATCCTCCTCCTGAACGTCAATTTATGAGCCATGTATATATAATAATTCGTAGACCCACATAGTCTTTCGTATGCTGATGCATAGGAGAAACATTTCCTGAAAGACACTCAAACTTGTAATTATTGTAAGACTTAGTATGGATGATCGGATCAGACCTGGTCACATTCACTACTTGTTCATGGACGGTTTGGATGCATAGGGAGGCTTGTGTTATGTTACCTTGCTGTATGTCATAGTGGTTGCGTGAAATAAACGGAAGAAAAAGGTTCTAATCGAGGTAAGGAGTGGTGATACACGCCACAGTCGCATATGCAATTTGCGCAAGGGTTCTATGTGGTGCAAGTTTCTTCGAGCTTGGGTGACCTCCCAGGTGCCATGGATAGGAATGGCGCCGTCACAATTTACATCGCTTCTCCATTGTAAGGGTTCGCGTCAGCATATGCTGCTTCAGAATCCAAAGTGCGCAGTAGGGGGATCCAGCTGTGACAATGTCGCTCCTTCAAGGCTGTGCTTGCGGCGTTGCTGGTTAACGTGATATCCTGCCAAGCACGCTATTTAACAGGGGCTACTGTTACTAATAAGCTCCGTCCCTTGAAGCAGCTGAGATCTGCTGCAGCAGCGCAGCAGCTGTATTCTTCCCTCCGGACTGGACAACTTGCCGTGTTCCAAACGGCCGGGGCACCAAACCCATAACTCTTCTGATTTCGTTAATTTCCCCTTATTTGGGGATAAACCAGGGGGGCACCAGGGCAACAAACCAACAAAAAGAAGACATAAGTCGGCCCCTAGGCGGGTGACAGTGTTTGTGAGGGGACATGGAACCTCTCGCATTTTGCAGTCGTTTGCATGTCGTTTTTGCGGGTCTCGGGATGCTAATGGTTGGGCGACACTCGTTGGGGGACTTGGCTGCAAACAAGGGAGACTCCCTGACTGCGAGGCACGGAACAACTGAGCCCGCAGCAGTGACGTGCAGGCATTGCAGTGGCTAAGTCTCTTTCGCCCCCAGAGGCACCATTCTGACGTTTTTGCGGGTCTCGGGATGCTAATGGTTGGGCGACACTCGTTGGGGGACTTGGCTGCAAACAAGGGAGACTCCCTGACTGCGAGGCACGGAACAACTGAGCCCGCAGCAGTGACGTGCAGGCATTGCAGTGGCTAAGTCTCTTTCGCCCCCAGAGGCACCATTCTGACGTTTGAGGCCCATGTGATGCGGCGATGACCGAACATCCCGGTTATCTTGGAGCACAGGATGTTTATTATGTTGGTACTTGTAAGGATATCGGCAAGGTATATACTCAAACTTATATATTGACACATATTCAAGAGTAGCACATGTGAAGCTGTATACCGAAAAAAACTTTTCTATTACTTCTGCTGGTATGCTTAATGATAGAGTACTGCCATGATATGAAAAGGAGGGGATGCCGGCTCAGAGCATCTGGGATTGCGCAGCTGTGCAGGATGTGTCTGTACGGGTGGGCACAACACGTGTTGCGTAACGAAAGTTCCAGAACAGACCTGATTAACGGAAGACAGCCGTAACCTTCGCTGTCTTTGCAAGATAGCGTGGGAGGGCTGGCTGAGGGGGTGAAGGACGTCATAGAGAGTGCCTTTCCGTGAGTTCCGTGCGCCACTGGACCCATCAACTACAGGTCGACACAGGAAAAGCCTCATGGGAGTGCTAAGATGCAAAAAAGTCCTATCAAGGATAAAGCGGCGACTAGGGAAAGCGAGGCGCAGTACATACAGAGGGGTCCCTGCAAAGGGGGTCCAATCCCCAATCCTGGGGTGTCGTATTTTAATAATACGTTAAAATACGCCTGTGGGGATGGTATTCCCTTCGGGGAGCCAAAGTGGGGGTACTGGTCAGCCATCCTCCCAGCCTCGGCAGGGGCAACCGTCCCCCATTCCCCATCTTAAGGGCCCGTCATAATCCCATCCCTCTGACAGGCTTCTCATCCTCATCCTACAGCTGGGCCCCAATCCCATCCTGCCAGCCAGGGTCCCATCCCCAATCCCTTAAACCGTGGTCATCCCCATCCTGCAGCTGTTTTCAGATCCGAAAGCTGTCAGCCAGGGTCCCATCCCCATCCCTTGAGCTGGTGCCACAACCCTCATCCTGAGATGCCTGCCAGCTGCAAACCTAATCATTACACAGGTGCTGTAAACCTGATCCTGCAACGTGGCTCATCCTTTTTGAGGTGGGTGTAACTGTTAACCAGGTTGGGCTGGCCAGAAAGTATAAAAAAACGGAGTCCTGTACATTACACATAAAACACCCGTAAAATTTCGCAGGAGGATTGCAATCATAGGGAGCTGCCGGCTGTATTCATTAAGAAGCAGACCGAAGCGATAACCGCTCTTTGAAGCGGATCTCAAGCGAGGGAGGCTGCTTAGGAACTCGCAGCACTGACGTCTATGTATCTGTTTGCACACTGGCTGTCAATGCACATAGCGCATCCTAACGGAGGAAGGATTGTTATGTTGGATGGTTGGCCACAACAACAAATCGTGATGCCGTGGAGGAGGGTATGAACAGCGGGAAGATGAGGCTGGGGTCCTGGCGCAAGCTACCAGCGCAACGGCATTTAAATATCGCGACAAGGGGGTCCTTTTATATCTAAGTGTCAGTCCCTCAGTATCTAAGTGAAGTTGAAGGGGGGTTCTCTGGCCAGCTGAATGAGAAAAGACGGCAGCTCGGCCGCCTTCGGGACAGCTAGATGAGGCTCGGTGGCTGCCAGATGAGGGTTCGCGGGGTCCGGAATTTCACCTGGATGAATGTATGGCATATCTCGATATGCGATTTGGGTGCTCTACATTTATCTAGTTACGCTTCCTTATGTACTGAGATGCGCGCGTTGCTTCTCGCAAAAAACGCTTACAGAGTCTCATACTCGCCCGTCATGCCAGTCAACTTACAACCAAATGAATATAGGAGGACATGAAACGGTGTTTAAATACATGTTTCTTTTCAGTCAGATGCGCGCGCGGGGCCCCTCTCCTGGCAGCTAGATGAGGCGTCGGGACAGCTAGATGCGGCTGACGGGGGTTGTCAGGCGGTCAAGATGAGGCTCGGGGCTCAGCTAGATGAGACAAGGGGGGGTCCCCGCGATATCTAGATACCATGTGAACTTAGTTAGATATTGTTTCCTCATACTTAAATGAGCGCGGAAGGCAGATGCCGGCCAGGACCCCACCCCCAGATGACAGATGACGAACCCTGGGTGATACCCTCCGGCCGTGGTTAGTATGACAGGACAAACAAGGGTGTTCTGTAAAAATGTCCATCACGGGGAACGCGGGCTGATGATGAAGAAGGAAGGGGTGAGCCGATGGTTCAACCCCTGCACAGCTGGTCAGCTGCACAGTCGGGCACCAATACTTCACGTTGGATACGCCAAAGCCCTGTGACAAGCACTCCGAGAAGCCAGGCGTTCCGATTGGAATGCTTTTGAGTTGACTTGGACATCTGCGCAAGATTTGCTCCTATGCACTACGACATTTTGTCCCATGCGCAGAGTTGCGTGGAGTTGCGCAACAATAAAACCCAGAAGATTGCATATTTTGACAGCAATCCCATCCTGAAAGTAGTGTAGCAATCCTAATCCTTGCCGTGGCCCCTAAAACCAATCCTGACGTCGTCAGCCTATTACCCATCCCGCCTGACTAGTACGTGCCCCCAATCCCCAATCTTAGCAACCCTCTGGTATATCTTTAACGAGCAGCGAAGGAATTCTGTTTCCCCCCCTTACGGCGTGGAACCGAGTTCCACATCATTCGCTCCCCATGAGAAGCGCCACTGCTGTGTGTGTGTGTGTGTGAGAGAGAGAGTGAGTGTGAGAGAGAGAGAGAGAGTGAGTGAGAGAGAGAGAAGGCAGAATACCGCGTGTGGTGGGGAGCAGGGGACGTTGGCACATAATGTTGTGATAGCCAAATAGTCAAAACAGGTCAAAATGCTTAGTAAGCAGCAGCCATATGTGAAAGCAAGCTGGGCGGATAAAACAAGTTGTAACACGAAGTCGAGCGTCCATAAAAAGGGTGAAGTTCACAAAGGGAGATATGGCACCCTTGCGAGAGCTCCAAAGGGCCCTTATTACCGACATGCATGACATGACCGGGCGTGACCCACTGCCTGTGAAAGAAAGGTGCACAGTACTGAAGATGCTCCTTTTCAAAAATTCCGCTACCGGCATTGCCGCTCCTGAAGCTTCCCACAGCCGGCCCAATGTTGTAGAGGACAGCGTTCCGCGTGGCTAATGATTGGCGACTCATACATACTTCTGGCTGCAACTAAAAATAGATTTTTTAATTATCATCAAATCTACTTCAGACTTCATCATTAAAAGCTGGCGCCACAGGTGCTTTGCCGCAATTATATTGCGTCGTGCCAGCGTCGTACAAACTACGACGCTACACAGACCCCTTGATTCCGTTCATGGGGCGTCAAATGTTGTCGCGTTTGGATTATTGCTGTTATTTTGTTGGCGGAGGGCGGCAGCTCAGCGGCTTCAACGCGGCGGACGGGGGAGATACGCTCCATCGCGGGCCTTCGCGACGTATAAGGGGCATGACGGCAATAACGGAGGCGCGAGCAACCAAGCAGACGCGCCACAGTCGTAGGTAGCTCCTGGTGGTAGTATATGGCTGGAAACGTTCCATTAACTTAGTGTTATCTATCATAGCGATGGAAACGGCCCCGAAAAACAGAAGCCAGCGGGAAGTGCGGAGGCAACCTCCTGCTTGACTTTGTAAAGTTTCTCAGTAAAGATAAACTAACAGAGAGTTTTTGTCTGATATCAACAATTTATTGTACGGACATATGCGATGAAAGAACTTTGCTCGTCGCAGCGTTGCAGGGATACACGCACGAACGCTTGACAGCTAACACGGGCACCCAATCTCTCATTGCCGTAGGAGCAATTCGCAGTTGGCAGCTCTGGATTAATGTATCCAGGTTTAAAACGTTATGAAGCATCGATCCCGTTCGTTCCGGCTAGGCGGTCCCACTCCCAGTGTAGGCCAGTGCCCGGAGGTCGGGTTGCGTATCGAGGCGATCGCGACAGCCCTATCTGATGCATATTGTCTTTGAAAAGATTGTTTAAAATGCATAAATTTGCCCTCATTCATTTATTTAAGCACAGGTGCATAAACATGCAAAGTCCTACCCTTAAACCGGCCAGGGGCCGGTCCGTCTTCAGTCAGCGACCACTTGACTAAAAATATATTCCTTGCAGTCCATTGGTAACTTGCATTCAGTTGTCGGTCTGAATGGCTTATCTGGGACGGCGATGCATAAGACCAGACCATGCAAATGTCGCATAACGCACGGAAACCATGCACACGCCTGTGAATCTCATGGTAGCTGTGACATTATTGTGCCGAAATATCATAACATGCCGGTGCGCGTGTATATGAGAAACCTCGAAAGCAATTTGCGCAGTTAGCGATAGTTTCGACCGACTCAATTCGCGGGAAAACGTATAGCATCGGCACAAAGTCTAATATTTTAAGCATAAATGCCACACCTAAAAATCTGACGTCGTAGCCTGCTATGGAATCAGGGCGACGCCCTAAATGACCGGTGTGCTCGCAAAGGGCCCGTACCTCGACCTAGGGGAAAGCTGCGGCACACTAGAAGAGCTGAATTTATACTTTATACCTCAAGGCCTGCAGCAATTCGTGCAATATCGGGAAACATTTTGCCAGCCTCTCGTCGTAGACCTTTCCACAAAGCTGAATTCACTCTTACTGTGCCTTCCCGTAGTATTGCTGGACAGGAGGATATAATCCTAGCAATTGAGGTCCTGTGCTTGATTACTGTGAATGCGACAACGCCTTAGCAGTCTCAACGCCGTCTCCAAGACTGCCAGTAGAGCTCGCGATGACTATTGATAATCATATAGGACGAAGGTAAACGCTTTTCTAACGCCTCGGAAAGGTCACTGTGGTTGTCCCGTCCGGAGGGTAAACAAGGCCGATGATGTCCGGCGATCCTCCCTAACGAGTCCTCACCCTTTCTGCCCTCTTTTACGTCATGCTTGCAGGTCCATGCGTGAGTTTAAGTGACCAAGTCAGTAACTGGCAGCTCACCTAATCTGACTTTCTTGTTTTAGGTAAACTTGAACTCTGTTTCTGCCGCTTGTGCTCCTCTTCTTACCGTTGATCGCCAGCCCGCCTTCATATACCTATTTTTTTCTGGGGCCACTTACAGGTTGATTTCGAGCCTCTTACGAGTGCCTCGTTCAACCTTGACCGCCGTGCCGTTCGCACCAGCGCCAACGCAGCCAACGACTAAACAGCTTGCTGCGCATGGACATTGTCCTTAGACGTTACAGCCCTCCAACAAAGCAGCCCGGCCATCGCGGCCGTGCTCCTACGGCTGCTGCGGCAGAGAGGTCTTCGCGCACAGCCGAGGAGCCAGACGCGAGGCCCCACGGTATGCCCCGTGACGGTGAGGGGGGCCATAAAGACCACGAACATCAGGCCCAGGGATTGCCGTCTGGCTCAGGCGAGGTCACCGCAGCGCACAGCAAGCAAAGACCCCTAGCTGGAGAACAACCCAAACTGGGCAACAACAGCCTAGTCAGCATGCGCATGGGGTCTGCCATGCAACAAGAGCAGCCACCGCTTGAGTGGCTCCTAAGGAACGTTGACCCCCGCAACGTGGGCCGCATACAGCACGAGCTGCTGTTACACCAGCAACTTCTACAGCAACAGCACCAGCAGCACCAACAGCACCAACAGCAAAAGGCTCAGGATGGCTCCTCTGGCGAACCACCGGCCACTGAAAATGGCTCCGATGATGCGGCCCCTGCAGCAAAAGCGCAGCCTGCACTCACACGCCCAGGCGGCGAGCCACCGGCACAGAAGCCGCCGCCACAGGACTCTTCCGGCGCCGGCGCCGGCGCCGGCCCCTCCACACAAACCCTGGACAAGCCGCCGGCGGCCGCGGGCGAATCCAAGCCGGGGATCGACTCGCCGCCGCCCCAACCACAGCACCAATACGTGCGGCAGGCTCGGGCCACCAGGACCCCCTCACAGGTCGACGTGCGCAAGGCCATTGCCGGGGGCATCTTGCCGCCGCAACAACTACAACAACAACAACAACAGCAGCAGCAGTCAGCGCGTAGTGAGAGCCAGCAGGAGAGCGGCCCCGGCCGGGGGGGGCCAGCGGAGGTACCTGCCGGGAGTGGCGGCGGCGCGGGCGGCGGTGGAGGGGTTGGCAGCAGAGCCAGGTCCGCGGGCAAGGAGCGGGCGGGCGATCAGCGGCCACAAGGAGGGGCCCCGGCCGGGGGCCCCTCCGGGACAGCAGTACCGGGGCGTCGGGGGCGGCAGTCCGCTGAGGAGGAGCTGTTTCTGGCCGCTGACGCGCTGGAGCTATTGATGAACAGCGGCCCTGGAGCTGGAGCAGGGGGGGCACATGCGGGAGGAGCGGGGGCTGCCGGTGTGGCGGCGGCGGCACCAGCGGCGGCGCCTAAAGCCCCCAAGGGTACGGCAGCGGGCGCAGCAGGTAAGGGCCGGCAGAAGCTCATCTCGTGTCTTGAGATACATACAGCATGTATCACACATACACGCATACATATATACATACATACACAAGGAGGGAGGCCGTGCGAAGAGGCAGGTACGGTGTAGCCTGAGGTGGTGGCCCGGCACGTCGTCATCGTCATCTTTTCCGCTGCCACTGACACGACGTGACATGACATGACTAGAGTTATCGGCCGCCCCGCTCCGAGCGCCCACAGGACCAAGTGGGGCCTCAGACCGGGGCCGTCTACCTAGCAGCACCCGTACCGGCGGCGGAGGCGGAAACGGGGCGGGCGGAGGCGGAAGCGCCGCTGCAGCGGCAGCCCGCAGCGAGCCGTCGGCATCGGGGCGGGCCGCAGGCGGACGGGGTCCGATGGGGGATGGCGCCGTGGGGGGGTTGCGCCGTGGCGGCAGGGGCGGCGGCCGCGGCGTGCGGATTGGCGGCACGGGCCCGCGTATCATCCGCGGGACCTTACCTGAGCCGGATCAGGACGAGGGGGGGGACAATGGCGGCGACAGCGGCGGCGGCGGCGGTCAGGAGGGCGGCCGCCGCCAGCCCGCAGTCCCCCGTCGTGCCGCCGCGGGTCCGTCCGACAGCTACGGCAGCTTGGGCGCGCGTGGCGGCGGCGGCGGGGGAGGCCTCACCCGTGGGGGTGCGGCCGACAGTCCCAGCCGGGGCTCGTTGAGAACCGGCAGTGGCAGGGGCCGCCCAGGCGCCGGGCGGTACGGCCCCGCCGAGCCGAGAGATGAGGACGGGTGTGAGTGGGACGAGGAGGGCGTTGCGCCCGGGCGCCGCAACGGGCCGTACCGCGTGGACGATGGTCGGCCGGGAATCACGGGGATTGCTGGCGGCGGAGGCGGAGGTGGAGGCTTTCCCGAGGACCTGGCGGAGGACGAGGCGTTATTTGGACCGGTGCCGCGGCGGCCGCGCACGTCGGTGTACTGCTCGCCGCTGCTGTACGACGAGATCCTCGCCTCCGCCAACTCCCCGACCCATGAGGTACAGGTCCTCGCGCTTAGCTGGTCGGAGTTCGTACGCATGGTGCAGCGGCAGCGGTCCAGGGAGCAGCAACAGCAACAGCACCACCCGGGGCGCCAGGGGCTGGGGCCAGGCGCCGCGGCGGCTCAGAACCACTTCCTGCAGCGCGCACACCAGCAGCACCAGCAGCGGGCGCAGCAGGCTCAGTTGGAAAGGGCGCGAGAGCAGCAGTTACAGCAGCAGCAACAGCAGCAGCAGTACCAGCACTATCCTTTGCACTCCGTACAAGGCCTGGCGCTGGGAGCCGCTGCCGCCGCTGCCGGCGGCGGTGTCGGCTACAACCCGCAGTCGCACACCCAGGAGCTGCTGCGGCGGGCGATCCTCATCAGGCAGCAGCATGACCAGCTGCAGCAGCACGGCATTGCCGTAGTCGACTGGGACGCCCCGCCAGCACGTGCTGGCGACATCCGGCAGCAGCAGCAGCAGCCGCTGCCGCAACCAGGCCGCAGGTCTGGCGGCATCGGAGCCGCTGGGGGAGGAGTGGTGGCGGCGCGAGGGCGGCGCCGC